TTTTTTTTTTTTTTTTTTTTGTACAGTGTGGGGAATTGAACGCAAGGGGTGCTTTACCACTGAGCTACATCCCCAGCATTTTTTTATTTTTTGAGACAGGATCTTGCTAAATTGTTAAAGTCCTCCTAAGTTGCCAGAGTTACAAGCATGCACCACTATGCCTGTCTTAATTCTCTTGAAATATATTCTTGTAAAGAGTATGGATTTGAGAAACAAGGTCACTAACTAGATAAAAATTGGAAGGCTAGGAGATGACTTCTTGTACCATTCAACAATCTTGATGTTTACCAGAGCAGTCCAAATGAGCTTTTTCTTTTAACTTCTATGCCTGTTTATGACAGTTTTTGTAAAGCATGGAGAAGTAGAGCCAGGAGTACCCCAATTAGAATGAGGGTCTATGTTTATTTGTTATGTCAAGTGCAGTTCAGGGTAAGATGAAAAAAGATAGGCAAAACTGGATCTCCAAGAGAGACAAATCCTGTTCAGATGTAATTATATATATCATAATTGGGCAAAGTTGAGCTATTTTAAATATTTGTTTATGGATGTAATTTAACTTGCTTAATGTTGTATGTTGTTGAGAAGTTATATGTTGATAAATGGGTTATCTGAGTTTCATTTGAGGTTATTCTTTAAACCTTGCATTATATTTTTATAAGGAAAATTCTTATGTGAATTAGAATGCCATTTGTAAGTTCATGTTGAATTTGCAGTGGAATTCACTGATTTATTATTGAGCCTTATGTGGACACTCTGGTCTTCTTACTATGGTAGGTTGAGCAAAAGGTACGAGCTTGAGTTCTTCCCTATAAAAGTTTTCATGACAGCATCTGGTGAGTGGAAAGGCTGAAAAAGATTAGAACCAGCACCTTCTAGAAATTTTGTTCAGATTTTTACTTATTCACTGTATGATTTAGAATGTCATCAACTAATACATTTTATTTTATTTGGAGGGTTGATGGGGATTGAACCCAGGACTTTGTGCATGGTAGGCAAATGCTCTACCACTGAGCTATACACCCAGCTGACTTATTTATTTTGAGACAGATGCCCACACTGACCTGAAACTCATGATTTTCCTATCTCAGACGCCTGAGTAGCTGGGATTGCAGACATGTATCATGATGGCTGGCCCAACTTAATACATTTTAAATTGACTGTCCTCACACCCCCAGCCTAGACATCATCAATGGGTGTTAAAAGGATCCATATCAACTTAAAATTTAGAAAATTGATGAGATGATCATCGTACATTATATCCTAGAATCATTTAGTGAAAGTATTTTTAATTTAAGAGAAATACATCTAATAATCCATGTCACTTATTTATGCTTGAAACATGAAGTGTTATCTTTAACCTTTCTTTTTTCTCTAGGCAAATAAGGGAGAGATTGAAGAACCAAGTCATTCAGATGAAGGAGCAAGTACCTGACTTCACCCCAGGCCTGGCAATTTTACAGGTATTATCATAGTATATTTCTTCTAATGACCTCCCTGAAGACACATGGTAGCAATTCAGGCAAAAGCACTTCAGACTTCTTCCTCCATTTTTTTCTTTATTGGCTTTTGTGAAACCCCATGCCTTTACAGTTTCTCTTAGCAGACAACTCCTTTTTTTTTCCTCAAATTCCATGTGCTGGTTTAAGCTGTCCCCTGGCCCTTTCTCTGGATGCCTTTTCCCCAGACCAGTGTCTCTTAACCTTTGATCTTCATAGAACCCTTTATGCTCTTCAAAATTTAAGACCCCAAGGAGCTTTTATTTATATGGTCTTACCTATTCGTATTTACTGTATTGGAAATGAAAACTACGTTTTAAAAATATTCGTTCATGTTAAAATTCCAATAGGAAGTTATTATTCTGTAAAATAAATTGAAAAAAAACCTTTTTGATAATAGAATTTAATGAGAAGAGGGGCATTATTTTACATGCTTCGTAGAGCTCTACTGTCTGATGTAAAGATGTGGTAGAGTTGAAGAGGAGGGATTCCCAACCACGTCTGCATCCAGTCTCTTGCTGAGTGGTGGTCTGGTTGAAATGTAGGAAGAGAATCTGGCCTCATTCAGATGTGTAGCTGTTAAGGGAAGATTTTTTTTTTTTTAATATATAGTTGTCCAGATAATTGTAGATATTTTTCTTTGATACTGTACCAGGATTCACTGAGTGAAGTTTTCAAAGGTTAGTCACAATGTAGAATTTGAAAGTCTCTCAGTGAACATTCTTCATGTTTTGTAATTTCTTTTAGTATTTTCATGCTTTGTTACTTCAAAGTAACAAAGCATGAAAATGTTACAAAACAGGAATGGATATTGACCCATGACTGGTTTTGTAACATCCTTCATTCCTCATTTGGAAAACAATGGTTCCCTGAATTAGGCAGATTTTCTAAATGCTAACATTCTTCATTATTCAATTAAAAAAAAAAAAAAGGTATCACCAGCAAGCTCATCAGAAAAGTCTTTAAGTATTAAAAAGCTGTCAAATTCACAAAGGTCGATTAAAAAGTTCTAATCTTTGCTTGATTTTTTTTTTTTTTTTTTTTGATGCTGGAAGTTGAACCCAGGATCTTGTGCCTGCTCAGCACATCTCTACCACCAAGCTGAACCCCTAGCCTAGAAGTGTTATCATTGGCAGCAAATGCAATTTGTTGTTCTCCTTGAAGTTCTTACTTGTTTTATTCAGTTTTGATAAAATATTTGACAATCATGTTTTTCCAACTATTCTTATAAGTAAACATGGTGTTCCAGGGACTGGGGCTGGGGCTCAGTGGTAGAGAGCTTGCCTAGCATGTGTGAGGCACTGGGTTCAATTCTCAGCACCACATATAAATAAATTAATTAAATTAAATAATTAATTAAATAAAGGTCCATCAACAACTAAAAGAAAAAAAAATCTTTTTTTTTTAATTAAAAAAAAAACAGTGGTGTTCCATAGAAAAATGCATCTTGTTCAGCTGCCAAGGCACAAAAGCCCAAGTGCTTTTCCTACTGACAGCCACTGTACTTCCCTGGGCAGCAGAAGTACTTTATGAATGCTTCTTGATTCTTTACACAGAATAATAAAAAGACATGTGTTCAAGGGTTGAGGTTTAATAAAATCAGTAATTTGTATTACTTCAAGAGCATTCCTAAGTGAAACTGTTATCTGTTTTTACTAAGATTTATGTGTCAGTGAAAGATACCTTAGCAACCAGAGTATGGTTTGGTACCCTTGTCTCAATTTATGCTATCACCAACAGTCTTACCCAGCATTATTTTTGTGCTATCAGTATAGAAGTTAACACAATGAAACAGCAAACAACATAGTAGTATGTGAAGTTGTCAGAATATAAATGGAGTCACTGTGTCAAACCTTGACAAATGAAGCCAGAAAAGGCCATGAAGGGAGAGTTCTCATGCTTAATTGCCTGATAAGAACTATCATCAACTGGGAGTGGTGGTGCATGCCTCAATCCTTGCAACTCAGGGGGTTGAGGCAGGGATATCATAAGTTCAAGGCCAGCCTCAGCAACTTAGTGAGACCCTGTCTATCTATCACCAAAGACTGCCCAAAGCACAGACTTGCACAAAGCCAAAGTACTACAGCCTCACCCAGAAAATACTTCTGCAAGTTTATCTACCCAGCAACTGCCTACCCAACATTAGATGCCACCTTTGTTATTGATCCTTGTGGCCAAGGGTGATTGTTTCAAAACAACTAATGGAACACTCATTTTGCCTTTAAAAACCCTTGTTTGCCTTTACTTCTCTGAATATGCACATAGTTTGCTGTGGCAGGTATATTTCTATTGCAATACTCATTCTGGAATAAATTTATTATCTTTGGAGAATCTCTCTTCATTTTTTACTTAGATGGAATGTTATTTAGATACAAATTTTATTATGAAAATAATTTGGCCCTCAGATTTATCTTCATTTAATGGTAATTTTTCTCCTTTAAGTTTTTTTTATTTTAATCATCCTGTATTAGTTGTACCTATTAATGGGATTTAGTGTAATATTTTAGCACATGCATACAGCGTCCACTAATCAAATTCAATCTCCCTTTATCCATCCACTCCCACACCCTTCCAAACTTCTAGAACTCAGATCAACTTTGTTTAGCTTCCACATTTGGGAGAGAACTTGCAATACTTGTCTTTCTGTGTCTGGCTTGTTTCACTTAATATAATGTCCTTTAGTTCTATCCATTTTACTATTTAATGACAGATTTCATTCTTCTTTATTTTTGAACAAAATCCATTGTGCATATATATTTATCACATTTTCTTTTTCTACTCATCTGTTGATAGACACCTAAACCAATTCCATATCTTTTTAAAACTGTATTGGAGATTGATCCTAAAGATACTCTACCACTGAACTACAACTCCAGCTCTTTTAATTATTTTATTTATTTACTTATTTATTTTTTGGTACTGGCTGAATCCAAGGGAGCTTTACCCCTGAGCTACATCCCTAGTCCTTTTTATTTATTTTTTTAAATTTTGAGACAGGTTCTTGGTACTTTGCTGAGGCTGGTCTCAGACTTGGAGTCCTCCCACCTCAGCCTCCTGAGTTGCTGGTATTTCAGGTGTATAGCACTGTGCCCAGCTTGATTCCCCATCTTAGCTAGAATGAATAGTGTGCTAATAAACAGGTATCTTTTTGGTATGATGATTTCATTTCCTTTGGCTATATACCCAGAAGGGGGGTAGCTAGATCATTGTTTATTATCAAAAACAAAACAAGTGCTGGTGAGGATGTAGAGAAAAGGGAACTCTCATGCCCTGACAGAGAGAATGTAAATTAGTTCAGGCATTATGGGGAATGGTATAGATGTTCCCCCCAAAGTCACAGATCTTTGAAAAGGTGTTGGGATCCCTCAAGAGTGCACAGGATACACTTTGAGAACTATTGCCCTAGGTGGTTCAGTTACTGTGAACTCTGGATCCCTTCTGAGATCCAGACTCATCGTTCCTGGAGAGAACATCCCTTGTCTCCCTTCCTTCTCTAGCCTCCTTTGCTGTTGTTTGTCTTCTCCTGATACCTAAACCATATGAATGGCTTAGGGTTCAGCCCTCATATCTTTTCTCCATCTTAATTTTTCCCTAAGTGACCTTACCCAGTCCCATAGTTTCATGAGGGAATACTTCCAAATTTAGGTCTCTAACTGGAGTTTCTTCCCTGAGTTTGATTGCATCCAGAAGGGAGGCAATTGATAAATATTTGTATGGGCAAAGGTATAATTGATTGTTGGAAGGTTTGATTTGGATGACAGGATCTCACAGTTTTCCTTTGAAACTCCCTTAAAACACCAGCTTCCTGCCTCATGTTCTTTCTATTTGTATGTCTCCACATATATCATCTAACCCCTTGCTAAGTTTCCTTTCCTTGTTTATTAAGAATTTCAGCATGAATGCTACTCAAATTCCCCTCCCATTACAGTGTATCTCACAGGCCTTAGGTGAGGGAAAAGGTACAGAGGGCCTGTCCCTCAGTATGTGGTGTGTTCTCTGCTATGGTGAGTTTTTCTTTTTTTTTTTTTCTTTTTGCAAATTACTAAGAAAGTAATAGGTTGTGGGTGTATACTTGGTACATTTGGGGACTGGTTATTTCTTGGCTTATTATTGTTTGTTGTAGAAAGAAAGTAAATGTCATAGGTGAGAAATCTGTTTCTGGACTGAGAGTATAGCTCAGTGATTGATAGAGTGCTTGCCTGACACGTGTAAGATCCTGGGTTCTGTCTCCAGCACTGGAAAAACAACCACCCAAACAAAAAGCCAAATCTGTTTCTGTAAACTGTTAAATAAAAATTATAGTAGGTCTTTATCTGGGCTAAGATCCTGCACTAGGCCCCATCAGTTAAATCTAAAAATCAAAATGGAATCACTAATGCTGATGTTCCCTGCTACCAAGCTGAAACTACGATGTTTATCTGATCTTCTGAGAATTTAGGACTAGAGAGATAGTAATGACCTTTCCCAGAGAGGCCAGTTTCGATTAATATTGCAGTTCCCTCTGCCTTAATCCTTTTGCCAAAACAGGTAACCTGATGTTAATTAACCAATCAGCTACATTTCTGTCATTCTAACTCCCTGTCCTAGTCTACAAGGAAAGTCATTTTGAAATCTCTCTCTCTCTTACACACACACACACACACATTTTATTTGTTTGTTTTTTTAGTGGTGCTGGGGATCAAACTCAGAACCTAGTGCATGCTAGGCAAGTGCTCTACCACTGAGATACATCCCTAGTCCTTTTTGTTTTTTTGTTTCTGCTCCTTTTGAGCCCATTTCTGTTTATAAAACCAGCCTCCTCTGCTCAGCTCATTGGAACACTGATGCTATTTTATTGCCCAATTCCAGAATTGCAAATAACCAATTAAGATCTTTAAACTATTGAAATGTTGTACTTTGACAAAGCCTTTTCTTAGCAACTTTTTTTTCTCCTTTTAAAAAATCTACTTCCAGAATTGACTTTAAATGCATTGATTACAAGAGTTTTTATTATATAAATACTGTTCTACAGCTTGTCTCCATGTCCTTGCTGATAAAACAGTGGTAGGATATTTCAGTCTTGTACTTTAGCACTGAGTCGGCACTTTCAAGGCTTACGTAATCTGTTCCAATCACATCTCTCATTTTCACAATTCTAGCGATGCTTGCACCACCATCTTCCTGTGTGACCATGTCAGATGCCTGAGGTCCTCTCTTAGAGCGTCTCTCTGCCCCACTCTCTGTGATTCTGACTCTTAAACTCTGAGAGTCTGCACCCTCCTCTTGATTCTTGCTGCTCCTGCCCATGAGCCATTACAGTCAGCACTCACTGCTTCTAAGCTTCTGATGTAGACTCCTCCTCTCTGTCCTCTTGACTACAGTAGCAGTGCTTGTTAAAATGCATATCTGATCACAACTGTCCAACTACATCTAGAGATGACAGTATTAATCACATATCATCCAGTGTCTACTACAGTTTAATGATCTGCCTGTAATCCCAGTGACTCCCAAGTTCAAGGCCAGCCTCTATAATTTAGTGAGATCCTATATAAAATAAAAAATAAGAAGGGCTGAGGATGTAGCTCAGTGGTTTAATTCCTAGCAAACCCCCCCCCAAAAAAAAAATAAAACAAACTTGAGTTTTTATGAATTTCAAATAAGGCTGTAATTCTATTCTTTAGTACATAAAATATATTTGTTTCTTTTTGGTACTAGGGATTGAACTCAGGGGCACTCGACCACTAAGCCACATCCCCAGCCCTGTTTTGTATTTTATTTAGAGATGGGGGTCTTACTGAGTTGCTTAGTATCTCACTTTTGCTGAGGCTGGCTTTGAACTTGCGATCCTTCTGTCTCAGCCTCCCGAGCTGCTGGGATTACAGGCGTGTGCCACCACACCTGGCAAAATATCTTAATTATTAATAACATAATATCTAATATTTGCTTCCTATCAGAATTTATTTTGAGTGCTTTACATGTAGTAATTCGCTCAGTTTCCACAAAATATGTGGACCAAAAAAAAGAAAGAAAAAGAAAAAGTAATAAATTTAACTGACCTGAGTATCTTTAAAAAGTTCCTAAGACAGAAATAAAAATTAATGAGTAGGGGCTGGGGTTGTGGCTCAGTGACAGAGCACTTGCCTTGCACGTGTGAGGCACTGAGTTTGACCCTCAACATCACATAAAAATAAATAAACAAAACAAAGATATTGTATTCATGTATAACTAAAAAAATTTTTAAAAATTAATGAGTAGACCAATACCCAAGATATTTTCTGGTATAAAAATAGGGATTAGTAAACTGTGGCCCATGTCTAAACATTGCCCAGATTGTAACCAGTTAAAAAAAGAAGTTGCAGCAGCTGTGACAGGGTATTTGCCCCATAAAGCCTGAAATATACCCTATCTGGTCCTTTGCAAACTCCTTATGTTAAAAAAAAAAAAGAAAGAAAGATATCCTGTTCTGGAATAGGGCTTTTTTTTTTTTTGTGGGGGGATGATATAATGCATAGCTACTTTGAAGGAAGAGATTAGCATTCCTGATAAAATGCTGAAGCACTGTTCTTGATAAACTAATGGGATTAAGATTTGTTCTGAGACACCAGTCTTCCACCCACCCACTTGACTGCCAGTCAAGAATCTAATGTTCTTTAACTAAATATTCTTGCACCTAGTCCATCAATGATTGTGTAACTATTTTTCCATATAAAATGCCTAAAACTGGAGGTATAGTTCAGTGGTAGAGTGCTTGTCTAGCATGTGTGTGAGGCCCTGGGTTCAATCCCGAGCAACAGAAGAATAAAATAAAATGCATATACTGAGAGTAATCTTTGAAATGATCCCTTAGATATCTCTTCCTTTACATTTGGATTATGTTAAAATGTGGGCATAAACTCATGACTAAGGCTTCTTTGCAACTAGTGGCAGTTTTGGAGTTTTAGAAAAATTCCTTCATAAATATTAAGGCAGAAAATAGTACTATTTTTTTTAACTATTTTAATATATAAAATAGTTAATATATAAAGACTTTAGACTTGTCTTCTGGCTGGGCACAGTGTTGCATACCTGTAATCCCAGCAGCTCAGGAGGCTGAAGCAGGAGGATCACAAGTTCAAAGCCAGCTGCAGCAACTTAGGGAGGCCCTAAGCAACTCAAGTGAGACCCTGTCTCTAAATAAAATATAAAAAAGGGCTGGGATGTGGCTTAGTGGTTGAGTGCCCCTGGTTCAATCCCTGGACTAAACAAAAAAGAAAATAGATTTGTCTTCTGTAGATGCCAAAGACAACGTCTCTGAAGGAACACACTATACGGATTCAATTTGACATGACTGTAGCCATTCTTGAATTGTAGTCTCATGATTGCCCCAGAATAACCCTAGCCAGTTGTTCCTATATAGTTTTCCAGCAAGCTACAAATAGACAAAATCATTAGAGTGTTATGTGGAGCTTCCCAGCTGGCCCCTTGCCCCAGGGGCTCATCAGACTCTTTTGATGTTAGCATAAGATAAACCAGGTACATTCCAGATGGGATAAAGTCATTGTCCTAACCTAGATATGCCTCTCTTCCTGACCCAAACTGTGGGATCTAATTGGTCGTGTTGCCATCCAAGACACACTTCTGTCACTAAGTCCCCAAATAAATTGCATTCTGCAATACTGGATCTGTCTGCCTCTTATTCTTTAGTTTTACAGTACTTTGGGGTCAGTCCTCATATACTAGAACTAGTTTCTTCTGGAACACACTGGGATTCCAAATTTAGCCAAGGTTCTTCAAATACAAAGGACAGCAAAAAATATTTTCAGGTATATATAGACTCAGAAAAATGCCTGTATACCTTTCCTGGAATCATGACTTATGGTAGTATTTCAGCTGCTTGAGAGATAATTGAAGAGAAACTCTGAAGTAGAGAAGTAGTTTAAAAAGGACTGGTAGGTACACTGAATGTAGCTTGGTGGTAGAGCACTTGCTTATAATATGCAAGGCTCTGGGTTCAGTCCCCAGCCCTGCAAAAAAAAACAGACAAATCCCCCCAAACCAATTTCCCCTAACAGGACTCTTCTGATTCTCTCAAAACTCAAATTAACTTTACAGAAAACTTAGAACTACGTATGGAAGGGATGTCTGAAGCCAGGATTCAGGCCATGTCCTGATGTGCAAGGGCAGCATCTGTGTGGCAGGGTCTGGCAGTACAGTTGCACAGGTTCTGTGGTCCTGTTCAGAGGAGCAGGGCTCTAGTCATCTTTGGAATCAAGGCACCTACTGCTTTTCCCTCTGCAGTTTGGGGAGAAACCATACTTGTAGTGTTTTTTTAACCTCAAAAGAGAGAAAGGTTGACTACTAGAGTGTGGAAAAATACTTGGAAAATTAAATTTTACAGATAAATGCTTATAATGGAAAACTTTCAATATGTTCATAATTAAGAAAATGGAGGGAACACAGGGAGCCACAGCAGAGTGACCCGAAGGGGTTGGCTCCTGCACTGACTTTCCTCTGCTGTGAGGGTGGCAGACTGCCCTCTGCCTGTCTTGGCTGTGTGTTCTGTGAACGAGGTCCTCTTCTTGGTTGCTCTTTGTGTGGCTGGGCACCAGAGCTTTCCAATGGCCTGAGTATGGGGGAAGGCAGGGTACTTTGCCTTTTGGGTGTCTTTTTTGCCTGACAATAATTTCATAGCCCTCCATGCCTTATTCTGGTATGTCAGCAGAAATTCCATGTTTCTGGTAGCCCTGTAGCCCCCTTGCTTAGTGCTTCATTTCTAATGCAGATGCAAGTGGCCCCTACTTTTTCTTTTGGAATAGGGTCTCCCCCCATGTTGCCTAGGCTGCTTTGAACTGGGCTCAAGCGGTTCTCCCTCCTCCTGGGTAGCTGAGACTATAGGCACCAGCCACCTTTCCCAGTTTGACATTTTCTTTTAGTTTGGCCTTTTTGGTGAGAGTCAGGTGAACCTTGTTTGGGGAATGGGGGCCACCAGCGTTCATGTCCCCATCCTGTCCTGACAGCCTCCTTTTTCTCCTATAAAAGTTCTCTCCAACAAGAGAGACATGCTCGAACGTTCCTTTTATCATAACTAAAATTGTAGAAGCTTTTCTGTACACTTTGCCTTTCCCTAATTGTCTGATTTGCATGTATTCATTATTCTAGGTTGGCGACAGAGATGATTCCAATCTTTATATAAACGTGAAGCTGAAGGCTGCTGAGGAGGTAAAGCCTAGAGAAATGGTGCTGTCACCCTCCCCCACCTCCATCCCAGGTCCTGCCAGTTACCCTTTGCCCTTCCCATAGGACTTTTAGTGCCACCAGCAAACATTAGAGTATTTATTTTGCAAGTCAGAAATGGGTGACAGTGTGGCAGCCTCTGGTTTGCCCTTGAATGCTTTCTCATCCATGATTTTCTTACTTCCCAAAGAGCAGGAATAATGGATATGATGTGTGGTGACAGTGAACAAGTAAATAATGAGCGGTTGGAATGAGGGACTAAGTCTTCAGAACATGAGGGCGAAATCATGACTAACAACCTGGTTTATTTTAGTCATATCCTTAAAAGAAGCGGGCCCATATCTTAATTTCTCTTGGCATTTACCTGTTTTCAATGTTCATTTTTACAGATTGGGATCAAAGCCATTCACATTAAATTACCAAGAACAGCTACAGAATCTGAGGTGAGCCTTAGGGAATGATTGTGAAGAGGCAGCTAGAGTGCTTTCTTCTCTGGCTTTTGTTAGTAGAATTTTAAGGACTGAGATACATAAGATCCCCAGGTAGATCTCTCTTTATAGACTTCACCTCCAGAAAATCCTTGGAAATACCCACAGAGGAAATAGTGCATCCTATGGTATGAATATTTGGTACTCAAAGCTGATTGCAGTTCCATGCTCTAGATCACCTATCCTGTCCATTAAAACTGATCCTTGACCTGTAATTACCTTCCGTTTAAAAACCAAATATGTATTTTTTTGTTTGTTGGTTGGTTTATTTCTAAAGCTGGGGATTGAAACGGTGGTCTTGTGCATGCTAGGCAAGTGTCCTACCCCTGAGCTACATCCCCAGTCCCATATTCTATTTATTGATGTTCGAGAATGGGCAAAAAAATTAGTGGTGATTAAAGTCAGAACTGTGGGCTGGGTGGTGGCGCATGCCTGTAGTCGAAATCTCTCCAGAGGCTAAGGCAAGAGGAGCGCTTATACCTACAAGTTTGAGACCAGCCTGGGCAGCATAGTGAAACCCTGTCTCAAGAGAGAAAAGGGAAAAGAAAAAAACTGTCGTCTAGGGATGTGGCTCAGTGTTAGAGCACTTGTCTAAAATATGTAAGGCCGTACATTTAATCCTCAGCACTGCAAAAATATAAAAAAGTAAAAAATAAATAAATGGAATCAGAACTGTAGTTGCCTACTTGTAGGGGGATAACTATAAAGGGTAGGAAGGAAAAAGAACTTTCTGGGGAAATGTTCTGTGCCTGCACTGTCCAATATGGTATCCTCTAACCCTAGGAAGCTGTTTTAAGTTGAATTAAAAAGAAATAATATGAAAAATTCAATTCTTCAGTTGCACTAGCTACATTTCAAGTATTCAGTAGATGTCATTGTGTTATAAGATACAAATTACAGAACATTCCTGTCATCACTGAAAGGATTATTGCACATTGCTGCTCTATATCTTTGTTGTTGTTGTTGTTCCCAAATCTTTATTATTATTATTATTACTTTTGATAATTTTGAGACAGGTCTCACTAAGCTGCTTAGAACCTCACTAAAATTGCTAAAGCTAGCCTTGAAGTTGCGATCTTCCTGCTTCAGCCTCCCAAGTCACCAGGATTATAAATGTGTACCAGAACTCTCATGCTAGATGAATAAATTTTAATCCTCATCTTCTTCCTCTTCTTCATTTAGTCAGAATGGGAATAATGCAAATTATAACTGCTTTGTTAGCAACTGCGTGTAACCAGTTGCCAATATTCTTCTTCAAATGTTTTTTGGTAAAATACTTCAACTACCTTTCAGAACAGGTTACCTTGTTATGGTGGTCTTGCCTTTTCTCCTTTCGAGGGTTGCAACCCATCCACTGAGATTCCCAGCTTTTTCATTTTTTATTTTCTCTTGGAGAGACTGCTTGAAACTGGCAGCTTCTGTGATTCCATCTTCTTTAGGATGGGCTTAATTAAGGGTAAACCTCAAAATCTACTTCCTTTTTTGCCCCACTTTGCCACAAGTTTTTAATATGCACCATGGGAGCAGCAGAAGCAGAAAGGGCTTCTCTGTATCTGGATTTTTATGGTTATAACATAGGCCTTGCTGTTGCAGTAGTGAGTTGTTAAAGCTCTTACTTTTTTGTGTGTATGTGTGTGCTGGGAATTGAACCCAGGGATGCTTTGCCACTGAGCTGTGTCCCTAGCCCTTTGTATTTTATTTTGTGAAAAGCCCAGGCTGGCTTCAAACTTGATATCCTTCTGTATTATCCTCCTGAGTCACTGGGATTACAGGCATGTGCCACTGTACCCAGCTTTTTTGTTAAGATTTCTTAGCAAACACCTGGGGAATTGTGTTAGTCAGCTTTTCTGCTGCTGTGGTAAAATGAGCTAATCAATCTATAAGGAGGAAAGATTTATTTTTGGCTCACAGTTCTCAGATTTCAGTCCATGGTCACTTGGCTCCATTGCTTTGGGCCTGCAGTGGCACAGTACATCATGGCAGGGGGTATAGAGAGAAGGCTTGCTAAACCCTTGGGGGCTGCAAAGAGAGAGAGGAAGAGGCCAGCATTCTCATATCCTCATCAAGGGCATGTCTCCATTGACCCAATTTGTTCCGTATGTCCCACCTCTTTCCTTTAGTGCCACAGACTGTGAACAAAGCCTTCAACACATGGGCATTTGGGGACATTTCAGGTCTAAACTATAGCAGGTATATTTTATGTTAAAGTAGAATTTCTCTCAGCATTCAAGGGCTAGTTACATTCTGAGAAGACTATAATTAAATTCTTTGGGAAAATGGGGCCACTTGATTTTTCCCTTGAAACATGTTTCTCCCAGCTTTTGACTTCTATGTACATGTACTAATGTATGTGTGATCTTACTTTTAGGTGTTAAAGAGCATCACGTCCTTGAATGAAGACTCTACTGTACATGGCTTCATAGTACAGCTACCCTTAGATTCAGAGAATCCCATTAATACTGAGGCAGTTATCAATGCTATTGCACCTGAAAAGGATGTAGATGGGTGAGTGTGGCTTGGCTTCCTACACTGCATTGGATGGTTCCATTTATAATATGTCTCTGTTTGGGGAAAACGTCATATTTGTTTCTGAAGAATAGACACCTAATGATTTTTGTTTCCCCCTCATTTTTATCACTTTGTTGTTTAGATTGACTAGCATCAACGCTGGAAAACTTGCTAGAGGTGATCTCAAAGACTGTTTCATCCCTTGTACACCTAAAGGATGCTTGGAACTCATCAAAGAGACAGGTAAAAACAAAACAAATAACAAGATGGTGATGTCTCTGAGTGCCTGTGTTGACATGTGGAGTGCAGAGGAGGGCACACACTGTGGGCATAAGTGATGGATTTGATTGGCAGCAGGCCTGTTTACTAGGGGGTTTTTACCTAAAGTCACAATTTCCTGAAAACTCTGTGAAGTAGGTGCTATTATCATTCAGTAGCTAAGAAAATAGGCTCAGGGAGATGGAGTATTTTGCTTAAGAGACAACAGAACAATGATTTGAACTCAGAGTTATTTGAGTTGAAAGCAATTTATTTTTGTGAAAAAAATATCCTGTATGGTGATAAGAATTCAGAGAGTATGAAAGGGTACAAAGTGAAAAGTCCCCATCCCTGAAACTGGCACAGATAGTGGTTTCAAGACTAGACAGATGGCTGGAAATGGATATCTTGAACAGTTGGCCATATTTCCTTATTACGTAGCTAGTACCTTGGTATTTTTAATTTCATTATGAATACTTTTAGCAGAGGTTATTTTTTGCAAGGAAATGGGTCCTGTTTTAAAAAAAGTAGGCCAGAAGTTTCATATGGAAAGTTTGGCCAGCATAAATGAAATTTCTGTATGGTTGACAAGAAAAGATCAAGCCATAAGCCTTGGGACAGCTATTACAGTTCCGTCCTACAACTAAATTTATATTTTTCAGCATACTGAGCAAATGCTTATTACAATGTGATAAAAGCAAATCCCATGAACTATATAGCAGCTATCAGCTTTCTACTTCCTCTTAGTGATAATGAAGCTACCATTTGCCCTAAGTCAGCTTCAAGTCTTTTGCCGAATCCTAAAGAGCATAGTGAGGTATCTTTTATATGTGTGTATGTCTGCGTGTATTTAGCTAGCCAGCTCTTTTGGGGATTGAATCCAGGGCTTCATACATACTAGGCAAGTGTTCTACCACGGAGCTATATCCCCAACCCTGACCAAGATAAACCTTTTAAACATATTAGACTTAGAAGTCTATTTTTGAATATTCATGATGTTAATACTATATAAGATCTGATCTTTTTCTGATAAAATTGATTTTATAAATGAAGCATAATTTAAACTCAAAACTGCCTCAAGCAGTGGTCCACAGTCTTCAGCCTTGACTGGATCCTATGGCTTAGACAGAGTCCTCAAAACATTCTCTTTGCTTTAGTGTATGTGGGCAGCTCATTATTAGGTTCCTTGTCCATCCTTGGGCATAATAGTAATGGGATTTTGCCAGGGGATGAAATAGGACCACTGGTCTACTACTGGGTACTCACCCTAGTCATCTCTGTTGAGCACAGTAGGAGTCAGTCCTGAAAAGGATGTTAGTATATTTCCAGAAGAATGGACGCTTAGTAAGCAAAAAGAAAGCTTTCTACTATAGTTAAAATTTCCCCTTTATCGCTTCCCTGCAAATGACTCTGTGGTTCAGGTTATAAGTCAAATGAGAAACTTTGACAAGGAACTGCATGAATAAACTTAAAGCTGGAAAGAATCACCAAAACTAATCTAATTTCCTTCACTTCTCTTTACCCCATTCCATACACCCAAGTAGTTATAACCATTTTTCCCAAGTAATTTAATCTGATAACTTCTTCCATATGGTTGTTTAGCTGTATCTCAGGGTTTCTTTTTGAGTGTAGGATTTCTTCCCACTCCCCTATGACTCAGTAAATGGATCTTGGCCTAAGATGCTCTCCAAAACCATAACAAGGACAGTATACAAGTTCCTAATCTGGATGTGAAACCCTAGAGCTAAGAATCTCATTGCCAGAGAAGGAGTGTTTTTAGGAAGGTTTCTGTTCGATGCTAAGAACCTGCTTTCGTGCACTTGTTCTGTTTTTCCACTCAGGTGGCAGGCGAAGAAGGGCAGCTGCTTTGTTCCAACTCTGACGCATGCTGGCTTTTCTTTCAGGGGTGCAGATTGCTGGAAGGCATGCGGTGGTGGTCGGGCGTAGTAAAATAGTTGGTGCCCCAATGCATGACTTGCTTCTGTGGAACAATGCCACAGTGACCACCTGTCACTCCAAGACTGCCAATCTGGACAAGGAGGTAGGAGTTCTGGGATAGAGTAGGAGGTGTTCAGTGTGTGTGTGCATGCATGTGTGTACTTCACCCTCACTGTCTTGTTTAACCTCATAATGTTGTTAATATGTTTCTTTTCTCATTTTACAAGATAAGGAACAAATTCAAATTACAAACTTGCCCAAGTTTATACATTAAGATTTTGTTCTGACTGTATATTTTGAGAGTAATTTGCCTCCTGGCAAAAACAGAGGTTAGCAGTGTAGGCACTGGGATCGGCCTCTGGTATCCAGATCCTGTGTGTACTGCAGAAGAAGAAGTGTTCCAGAGAAAGTCGTGATCAGCGGACACCCATGGCAGCTTCTTCTTTTTGGGGGGAGGTACCAGGGATTGAACTCAGGGGCTCTTGATCACTGAGCTATATCTGCAGCCCTATTTTGTATTTTATTTAGAGACAGGGTCTTACTGAGTTACTAGCACCTCACTTTTGCTAAGGCTGGCTTTGAACTCATGATCCTCCTGCCTCAACCTCCCGAGCCTCTAGGATTACAGGCTGTGTGCCAGCCCGCCCAGCCATGGCAGCTGATTCTTGATCCTCACATCAGATTCCTGAGTCCAAAAATGTTTGCATGGCCAGGCCTGGTGGCTGGTGCATGACTGTAATCTCAGCTACTTGAGAGGCTGAGGCAGGAGCATTGCAAATTCAAGGGCAGCTTGGGCAACTTAGCAAGATATGGGGAGAGAGCAGGAGAGAGGCCTAACATCTTCTCTTTTAATCTTCCTAAAGCAGTGCTCTGTGGAAGGTTCTGTAGGAGATAATGCAGTTTTCAGGCATTATATTATGCAGGGTTGTTGTCCTGAGTCTGTGGCTCCGAGTCCAGGCTCCCCTTCACCCTAAAGGTTCTCATTGCTTTCCCCCATTTTGTTCAATGCAAGGGGAGCTCTAGGCATATGTAGAAATGCATAGCATGTGAAAGGCCATCAGAAACAGGCATGTGGCTTCCATTGGAAGCATTACTCTGATATCCTGAAATAGCTGATGATAATAAAAAATTAGTATAGGGGCTGGGGATGTGGCTCATATGGTAGCGCACTCGCCTGGCATGTGTGCGGCCTGGGTTCGATCCTCAGCACCACATACAAATAAAGATGTTGTGTCCGCCGAAAACTTTAAAAAAAAAAAAAATTAGTATAAAGCTCAAAGGTGTCCTTTCCACTTCTAGATTTTTTTAAAAAAGTTTTTTAGTTGTAGATGGACACAACTTTATTTATTTATTTGTTTGTTTGTTTCATGGTACTGGGGATTGAACCCAGGGCCTTGTGCATGCGAGGCAAGCATTCTACCAACTGAGCTATATTCCCAGCCCCCACTTTTAGATTTTTTAGTGTGTGTCATTACTCAGTTTCTGAAAACTGAATCCCTTCCCTTAGGTAAATAAAGGTGACATTCTGGTGGTCGCAACTGGTCAGCCTGAAATGGTGAAAGGAGAGTGGATCAAACCTGGGGCAGTTGTCATTGACTGTGGAATCAACTATGTCCCAGGTGAGTATTGCTGGGGAGGAAAAGGTGGTTTCTGGTAAAGGCCCAGAAGGACAGGAAACCTGAGAGAGAACCTTTAGCCTTATTTTATGTTTGAAGTTCTGAGGTTTAGAGAGACTGACTTGCCTGAGGGTGCACATGATTAATAGGTGAGATAGTTGCCTCTTGTGGGCAGGCCCACCTGGTGTGAGAACCTGGAACTTTCACTGCTGTATTGTAGTGACTTAATCCTCCTTGACTTAATCCAGGGAGAGGGTGGCAGAGGGGCTGGGAGGGCGCTGCTGTTTGTCTTCATGTAGAGATCAGTTTGTTTTAACAAAGGTGATGGGTGGGTTTAAAATGTAGCGCAGTTAGTCCACTCTTACCCACAGTTTTGTTTTCCATGATTTCAGTTACCCATGTTCAACCTCATTCTGAAAATATTACATGGAAAGTTCCAGAATTAAGCAATTCATGAGTTTTACATTGTGTGCTGTTCTGAGTAATTTGGTGAGCTTCTTGTGCTGTCCCTTTTCATCCCACCTGGGATATGAGTCATCTCTTCCTTCTCCGTGTCCACATTGAATATACTACCTGCCTGTTAGTCACTTCGTAGCCATCTCAATTGTTAGATGAACTGTCATGGAGTAGTTGACGTTCAGCTCACCCTTACTTCACTTAATCACAACCACAAAATGCAAGAAGAGTGATGCTGGCGATTTGGGTATGCCAAAGAGAAGCTGTAGAGTGCTTCCTTTAAGTGAAGAGGTTAAAGTATAATCAGGTATTTTGAAAGAAAGTAAAACCACATTCACATAAGTTTTATTATAGTGTAATGTTGTAACTATTCTATTCCATTGTTGTTGTTAATCTCATGCTGTGTTTAATTTATAAATTAAGCTTTATCATAGATTTGGATATTTAGGAAAAAAATAGTATGTATAGGATTTGGTACTGTCCGTGGTTTCAGGCGAAAACTGGAGGTGGGGTTTTGAAACTATCCCGCACAGGTAAGGTGGATCTATTGTATAATTGTTGCAAAGTGCTGTGAGTGTCCAGAAGAGAGACACATTCTACCAAAAGTTCTCTGGAAGGGCTTTACAAAGTTGTTTGGGCTGAGGGTGTAGCTCAGTGGTGGAGAACTTGCCTAGCACATGTGGGGCCTTGGGTACCATCCTTGGCACTGCCAAATGAAAAAAAAAAAAACAAATGTTCAACCTGGATTTTTTTTTTCTCAGAGGAGAGAAATTCAGCTTTTTAGTCACGTCCAAAACTCTATGTGGCTGGGCATGGTGGCCCAGTGACTTGGGAGGCTGAGGCAGGAGGTTCATAGGTTCAAAGCTAGCTTAACAACTTAGGGAGACCCTGTCTCAAAAAATAAAAAAAAAAGGGCTGGGGATGTGGTTCAGTGGTTAAGCACCCCTGGGTTCAATCTCTGGTACAAACAAAGCAAAACAAAACAAAAGCTGTATGTGGCCTCCTTATCCCCAGGTTATTCCTTATTATTTTGGCTAGTGATATCGTCATCCTTCCTTTTTACATATCTGAAACCTTTTCATTTCCCTTCCAATCATTCTCTTTGTTGGATTCATTTTTAAATGTTAGGTACCATTTTCCTCTCTCCCCTGTTTTCAGTGTCATCCCAAGAGTTGCCCTTTCAGCTGGGTAGCTGCTGTCATTTCTTGTTGGTCTGCCTATCTGCAGCTAATTCCCACGCAGATCCACCTGCTGACCAGGACCCTTATGCCTTTTGTCTTCCCTTGTCTCTTGCCAGACTCCTCACGTGAGTTTCAGCGACCTCTATAGTCCTTTTTCTTCTTTGCACTTAGTAAATACCTGGCGTAAGCTGTTGGAAGTGGACCACTTTGCCTTCCCTACTCGTTCCTTGTTTGTCCTTTGCAATTTCTGTGCTGCATCCTTAATGGAGTAGGCTGTTCAAACATAAAATTTTCAAAGAGAAATACAGTAATACCTGTATTGTTGCATACCTCATAGATTCAAGAAAGTAGCGATCTTGGGGCTAGGGTTGTGGCTCAGTGATAGAGTGCTTGCCTCACATGTGTGAAGCACTGGGTTCAATTCTCAGCACCACATATAAATAAATGAATAAAATAAAGGTCCATCAACACTAAAAAATATTAAAAAAGAAAATAGCAATCTCTAATTGAGTGCTTCCTTCTTTGCAGCAAGGGCTATGCCAGGGCTTGGACTACACAACCAAATAGGGCTTGGCTATGGCTGGCTGGCTGGCTTTCTTTCTTTCTCAGGGAATCAAAACCAGGGCCTTATACTTTTCTGCCACTGAGCCACATATTCAGTCTTGAACTTCACTTTATTTGGGGGGCGGGGGTGTTGGGGATGGAACCCAGGGCCTTGTGCATCCCAGGCAAGTGGAGTTCTACTACTCTACCACTGGAGCTACTTTGATCTTTTAGTTTTACTTGCAATCCTCCTGCCTCAGCCTCCTGAGTCACTCAGACCTCACTTCGAATTGCATAGTTCCTCTCTGTTTGTGATGTCTGTTCCTCCTTCCAGACTTTGTCCTATTTCCCCTTAGCCAGGAGTGGTCTCACCTTCTTTTGAAAATCCTTCCTTCCCTCCCCTCCCCTCCCCCCAAACTTGGTATTTCTTTTATTGTCTGTCTCATGTTTAGTGTCCTGTACGCTCCCTGCTAGGCTCCTCCCAGTCATCATCTCTGGGGAGTCTTCTCCGGCTTCCTGCCTTCTGACAGCTGGCACTCATATCTGTTGAATTGTTCAGGGAGTTATAGCAAGAATAATCTTTTTTTTTTCCCTCCCTTCCCATCTCAAGTTTGAAATGTAGACACTGAGCTGCCAGGAGCATTAGTCACTGTCAAGTCCTCACTGTTTTTAACCTCCCTCCCACTCTCCCTACCTCGATTTTAAGACAGTAGCTCATAAATGATCACTCATTTTCTGGTAGTGTAATTATCTCATGGGTGATAAAGAAATTGCTCTCCTACAACTCCTCAATTTGAACACTTGCAGCATGACATTCAAGCTCACTGTCTTTCAGTCCTTGCATCTTCTGTATCCTAGTCCTGCTGTGGGCATTTTTTGGATTAGATGTGAGAGATGGGGAAGAAAAACCTGGGTGGGGATCTGGAATCTGGAAGATAGGACTGAAATGTTTGTTTACACGTGAAACTTATCATCCTGTTCACATTGATTCTTTGTGTATATGGTAACACATGAATAAAGTTAAAGCAATATCATCCTTTCTGTTCAGTGTTTTTGGTGATCCTGTGCATATAGGCAAATATATCGATAAGCCTGGATGTTATTGTGCCCCAGGGATGGTAGAATCATTGCATTACAGACCAGTGGGTGGGCTGCAGGACCTAAAAACCATTCTTTGCAAATATTCATTTTAGAAGCAATATATTCTACAATTAGGTCACTTCTTGGTTCATATTTTATTTAAATTGTTTGTATGGGGCCTGGGGGTATAACTCAGTAAAGCCTTGGTTCTCTGAGCCTTGGGTCAGTCCCCAGCACCAAAAAAATACAATTAAATCATTTGCATGACCTAGTCAAGGTTAACAGGGATAAATTACTTGACAAATTAAGAATGAATTAAGGTGAATTTATGTTTTTCAAAAACGAATTTTTTTCTTTTATAGTTCTGGGATCGAGTCTAGGTCCTTGCACATGCAAACAAGGAATTTATTTATTTATTTATTAAGATTTACGTGCAGAGCAAAAAGTATTGGCCAGGGCAGTGTGTGAAAAGTTCTTCTTCCTTAACATACTACTAAAGATAATTTGAGAAGACCTAGATTAATAGTGTTTTATTTGAAAGGCATAGAAGAAGAGGTAATAGATTTCCCACCCTACCCTGATTCAGTCTCAGCTCATTCCGTATAATGTTTCCTGTACTGACAAATATTTATTTTTTAGTTGTAGTTGGACACAAATACCTTTATTTTATTGATTTATATGTGGTGCTGAGGATCGAACCCAGAGCCCCACACGTGTCAGGCAAGTGCTCTACCGCTGAGCCACAACCCCAGCCCCTCAGTTGAATTTTGTATATGCAACTTTCCAATGAAAGAGAAATTCTAGGGCCAGGGTTGATAATCCCAATGTTTATCTGCTACTGAAGCTGTATACTTAGGCTCAGAAGTGGTCACTTTTTCCCCTGAGCACATTGTTCAAAACTAAAATACAAAAACTAAGATGACTAATAAATAGAAATGAAAGGAGCATTTTAGGCTAATATCAGTGTTAGATTGTTGAAACCTATAACTGCATTTCCTTGGCATTTTGAAACGATTTCAGGGGTTATGAGGGGAAATGTTCTACCATAGTTTGCTGCTTCATAATCTTCTAGAAACCAGAAACTACTCCAAGGAGTTGTGTTCACCAGCTTCCTCTAGTACATATCTAGGTTGGGAAGAAGAACCTTAATGTTTAGAGAACACGTTTTTAGTTTCAAGGATGTGCACTTTCACTAGGCATGGTGGTACACACCTATAATTCTACCTCCTTGGGAGGCTGAGCCAGGAGGATTGCAAGTTTGAGGCCAGCCTCAACAAGTTGGTGAGGCTCTGTATCAAAAATATGTGTGTGGGGGGTGAAAGGGCTGGGGTTGTAGCTGAGTGATAGCGGCCACCTGGTTTAATCCCTAGTATCACTGCCACACACACACAAACAACACAGAGAATTTGCACTTTCTTGTTTGGTTCTCATCAAGCTTGTGAGATAGGTAGTGATGTTTCTTCTTTGCATCTTTGCACTTTCAAGGAACATGGGCACCGCAGAGTGGAGGACAAACAGTTAAAGGGTTTATCCTAGAGCATACTTCTGGCTTTTTTGGCCTCATCTGAAAGCTTCCTCTCTCAGCTGTGAAGATCTGCTGAAGGAGAAGTGGTATGAGGCTAAGATTCTACCAGATCCTGCTTTGGCAGCCTCATTGCTTCAAGGTCTAGGCCTGTGCCCCAGCCCCTCCCGGAAGTGCACCAAGCCAAGTGTAGGATGTTCTTTGTGTGAGTGAGCAATGATGCATCATTGGGTTTTGTTCTCTTGAACAGCTATTCTTTGCTGGTAAGATTTGTAGTTGTTCTTGTATCCATTTAAGGGAAGTGTAATTATATTCTTTGCCTTCAGCATACATTTAAGTAACTGCTCGTCTTTGGAATTGGATGTTGAATTGTTCCTCCAGCTCACGCATAGAGCTTACAAAACGCTGACAGTTGCTGTAGAAACGGTATCTGGCAGCTGTGACATAGTTGGAGTTTTTTGCACCCAAAAAAATTCCTTTGTAGGCCTTGGCAAATTAACATTTTGAAAGGTTCTCATTATATACTGGGTAGTTGGTTTTAAGAATAAAAAACAGTGTTTTATTTGCCACCTGAGGGACTACAAAAGGATTCTCCAGGTTCTGAAAAACTACTTAGTTGTCTTGTGAATTTTTGCTGGTAATATGATCTTCCTAGGAAATAGGAGACACCTGTCACCCTACAGTGGAGCTGGTGATGGAACCCGGGCCTCATGCATCCTAGGCAAGCATGCTGCCACCAAGCCACACTGCAACCCTATCCTGTGGCTTTTAATTAGACACTTGAGCCTCATGGGGTTATACACCGTAAAATTTGCCTTAGTTTTTGGAACAGTCATAATTGGTCACTTAGCTTGGAGATAAACTTAGCTTTCGATTCTGAGACTCTGCTTTGATTTATTCCCACTCAACCAGATGATAAAAAACCCAATGGGAGGAAAGTTGTGGGTGATGTGGCATACAACGAGGCCAAGGAGCGTGCAAGCTTCATCACGCCTGTCCCTGGCGGCGTCGGGCCCATGACAGTGGCTATGCTGATGCAGGTATTGATGAGTGAAAGTTTCTGTGATTGTTCTGAAGAGTCAACACTGCTTTTCTCTCCCAAAAAAGAAATGGAAGAACGGAGAAATAGTATCAGTCACATTAACAGAAGAAATGGCATAATTCTTATTTCCTTTGGAATGTAATTCTCTCCAGAAACAGAAAAGCACAGACAGGCTGACTTGGCTCCATCTGTTTTGGTTTGCTTGCTCTTTATGACACATAGTAGCTGGTCTGGGGGGAGGCAAGCAGCCCCAGAGCATGTCAGGCACACGTGGACTCACCTAGAATCAAAGCACATTCCTAGGAGGATTATGAATCAGCTCATTTTGGGATTGAACTGGAGGGCCCTGATGTTTGGAACTGACACGGGGGTTAAAATAATCACCTCTTCTAAGTTTCATTTATGTCATTTTGCCTAGAGCACAGTAGAGAGTGCAAAGCGTTTCCTGGAGAAATTTAAGCCAGGGAAGTGGACACTTCAGTATAACACCCTTAACCTCAAGACACCTGTTCCAAGGTAAAAATGAAATTTTCCTGATCTCGAATGTTATGGATTGCTGGGCTCAAGCTGATGGATACCATGGGCACATGAACACTCCCAAGAAAAGTACCATCAGTTGGGGTGGGGGTTGTAATGCCATTACCAGTTTAGGATTAAATTCACTGAATAAAGACTGATGCCTATCTTCTGTGTTTTTAAAGTGACATTGATATATCACGATCTTGCAAACCAAAACCCATTGGTATCCTGGCTCGGGAAATTGGCCTGCTTTCTGAAGAGGTTGAACTATATGGTGAAACAAAGGCCAAAGTCCTGCTCTCAGCACTGGAACGCCTGAAGCACCAGCCTGATGGGAAATACGTGGTGGTGACTGGGTACCGTGTTGCTTTGTGTTGCCCCTCGAGCCTTCAGAGCCATCTTGACTATTACCAGGGCTTGCATTTGCATGTGGCATGCATGTGTGGAGGTGCCTTTAATTTTGCCTTGGCGTTTTCACACACACCTGATCTTATTTGATCCTTATAGCAACCTCTTGAAGTAGGGAAGAGTAGAAGTCTTTCAGAGATGAGAAAATTAGTTTTCCATCTTGTAGAGAGAAGAGTATGATTTTTAAAATTAAACCCCTAATTCATTAATTCAATATATCTCCTGAGCAGTCCTTTTTTTTGGAAGTTCTCTGTCTTTTCAATTTATTTGTTGTTTTTAGATATACATGACAGTGGGGTATATTTTGATATATTACACATACATGGTGTGCAACCCATTATAATTTTCATCCCATTCTTGTGGTTGAACATGATGTGGAGTTACACTGGTCGTGTATTCATATATGAGCTTAGGAAAGTTATGTCTGATTCATTCTACTGTCTTTCCTATTCCCATCCCCACTTCCTTCCCTTCATTCCCCTTTGTCTGATCCAATGAACTTCTATACATCCCCTCTCTACCTTCCCTTGTTATGGGTTAACATCCACATGTCAGAGAGAACATTCAACCTTTGGTTTTTGGGGACTGGCTTATTTCCATTCATCTGTTGAAGGGCATACCTTGGCTATTGTGAACTGAGCTGCTATACACATTGATGTGGCTGCATCACTGTAGTGTGCTAATTTTAAGTTCTTTGAGTATTATAATCCGAGGTGTGGGATAACTGGGTCAAATAGTGGTTCCATGCCAAATTTTCTAAGGAATCTCCATACTGCTTTCCAGAGTGGTTACACCACGTTGCAGTCCCACCAGCAATGTAGGAGTGAAACTTTTCCCCACATCCTCACACTGAGCAGTCATTTTTTTAATGCTGGGTGAAGTTATATTTAAAGCTAGTTTTTGTTGTTGTTGTTAACAGTACTGGGAGTTCAACATAGGGATGTGCTGCCACTGAGCTATATCCCAAGCCCTTTTTATCTTGAGACAGGGTCTCTCTAAGTTGCTGATGCTGGTCTCGAAATTGGTGATCCTCCTACCTTAGCCTCCCAAATTGCTGAGATTATAGGCATGTGCCACCATGCTAGCTAGGTTTATTTTTTCAATTCCAAGGATGTAACCCAAGACCTTGTACATGCTAGGCAAGTGCTCTACCTGAGCCACATTTCCAGCCCCAAAGGAAGAAATTAAAGAAAGTAAAATTATAGCATCTGTCTATAAGATCAAGTGTCAAGAATATTTGCTTCTTACAATTAGAGCTTTTCTTTCTTTCTTTTTTTTTTTAAAGCTTTTTGGAAATTACAGCTAAGAATTTTAGAAAAGATCACTTTCAGGGCTTTTGTCCTTATTTAGAGTTAGAGTCATTCTCTAGTGTCTGTTAGGTCTGACTTAGTGAAAGATAAATAATTCTATGAATGAATCTTTTCCTCTTTTGCTTTAATCTTGAAGAATCACTCCAACACCCCTGGGAGAAGGAAAAAGCACAACCACGATCGGTCTGGTGCAGGCCCTTGGCGCCCATCTTTATCAGAATGTGTTTGCGTGTGTGCGACAGCCTTCCCAAGGGCCCACCTTTGGAATAAAAGGTACTTATGGGGCAAGGCCAAGGTGGCCAGAGGGCACCTACCTCTCCTTCACTCCTCTCGGACCCACTTGACTCCTGAATGTGTCTGAGGTCTTCACCTCATTTAGACACTAGGAACACCTGGTGTTCAAGTCCTCCAAAGAAGTGCATTTAGTGAAGGCTCTCCTTGGATCACCCCAGCTCCTGTCGCTATTGGACATTGCACAGGGATTCTTTGGGATTGGTAATATGTAGCTGGAGGTGCTTTTATTTGACCCTAATAGTCTACCGTCTCAGTAACAATAAAATTATCCTAGCTATTGATTCATGCTGACAAGTCTGAGACAGACAGACTCTAGAGATGTCTTGTTGGAAATAAGAAAAGCCTACTTTTACTGAATGCTTTTTTGTCAGCTATTGTGCATAGCATATTATTTCTATGCATATTATTTCATTTTATAGTTCTACATGACATAGTGTTATCACCATTTTATAATAGCAGCAACAGAATTTTAGCAATAACTTGGTCAGAGGCGCCGTTATTAAGGACCAGAGCAGCTTCCCATGTATATTTCAAGCTCTAAACTACCTTTAACAGATGCTTCTTCTGATTGGATGAGAACACGACATTAGTAATCATCTTTCAGAGTTTGATTGCTGCAATAGTGTAGACCTGCTCTTCTAATTAAAATTATTTTACTAATTATAATAGGTTCAAGTCACCTTTCTCATTTGCTTGGTGACAGGGTATCCATTCTTCTTGTTTCAGTAATTACTGCAAATGTCGACACCAGGCACACCTCTGCCCTTCTACCTGTTTTATGAATGTGTTTTGACTTAGTTCTGCTTTCAAGCTTGTCTTAACAGTCCCCTTTCCACTTTGCAAGGAGCCTTTCTCCTTGTTCTATTTAGTGAACCCACTATTCTCATTTTCCTTTTATTGCCTCATTGCATGGTCTCTGCCTCACAAAAATAAAATCTATACTCCAAGTTGACATTTATCTCACTAATGATGTGGTAACCTGGATGTTTTTGACTGGCCTTGTGTTAATAATCCAAATGGGCCAGCATAACTCTAGCAGTTAAGCTGTTTTCTAATATATGTCTACTTCAGGAAGGATTAGAGTCTCTGTGTTAGGTGTGAATACTTTAGAAATTCCTATTTTGAAAGCCAGAGTAGCTTTATGAGAGGAGGAAATTAAACAGGCTTGCCTTTATGTAACTGTCAGCTGAGTCTTTTAATGTGTTAGGAATCACAGGGAACCTATTTCTAAAGATAATGACTAGGTATATATGTATGTGTTCGTGATTTTGTCATTTAGACTCAGATTTCAATTGAGAGACTATTCAGCATGAACATGATCAAGTATTTTACTGTGGTAAAAGAAAATTAGAAAATACTTGATCAAATCTGTCCAAATGATTATTAAAAATAAACAAATAATATGCTTAGTTACAAAATCCTTTTTTTTTTTTTTGGATTCCAAGTCATGGAGAAGCGTTTTTTAACACGAGCCCCCAACCTTTACTCTCCCCTAGGTGGCGCTGCAGGAGGTGGCTACTCCCAGGTCATTCCTATGGAAGAGGTAATGTAATCTGGGATTTGGCTGAATCAGACCCTTTTTTATATCTTTATACCTCCAGAGATTAAAGGGTTTTTTTCCTAAAAAATAGCACTGTTAGTGGACAAATGACTTGTTTCCTAGTAGAAGCAATGCAAATGGAAGAATCGTCTTAATTCATAAACTTGTGACATTTTGGTTCCAAAGTCTGGCTTTCAGTTCATAAGCAAGTGATCAAATGGAGCATGATTTTGAGAAGCACCAGGACACAGTGAATTCAGGCTACTAACAACAGGAATGGGAACAGGAGAGGAAATGCAGTTGGTACTGCCTCAGTGTGCTCCTTCTTGCTCTTTGGTTAAGGGATCTGAGTATGTCCTCAGCAGTCTGTGTTGCTGTTGGTTCCAATGGTGTTTCATTTATGATCTCTGTGCTGTTAAGAGAAAATTGTACTGTGTGTGGGAGGAGTTACTCTTGAAGACAGCCAGTCACTCATTTTCTAGGAGCTCCCGCCATTGGCCGTTCTCCACTAACTGCTGACCTTGGTATTCCCCTGACGTTAAAATGGAGGTTGACTGGTTGCAGTAGAATGAAAGCTGGAAAGACAGAGCAGCTTGGAGACCAATGTGGCTTCTATTCTGTTGTAGTTTAATCTCCACCTCACTGGTGACATCCATGCCATCACCGCAGCTAATAACCTCGTCGCTGCGGCCATCGATGCTCGGATATTCCATGAGCTGACCCAGACAGACAAGGTAGGGTGCCAGGGGCTTTTGAAAGGGCTGAAGCACCCAGATTAATGTTGGCCCTTTGGGTAGCAAGGCAAAGGGGTTCCTCTGACCTAAAAGCCCTTTCCCTCCTTTTCTTTAAGGCTCTCTTTAATCGTTTGGTACCGTCGGTAAATGGAGTAAGAAAATTCTCTGACATTCAAATTCGAAGGTTACGGGTAAGTTTTTCCCCTCTTTGTGATATTGTCTAAAATTTGGTGATAAGGATATAAAACTCTCCGTAAAATATCTTATTTTGTGTCAAGTTACGTCAACAATCATAGTCCTGTCGTCATGATATGGGTGGCAAGGATTGGTGGTCGAGGTTATTTCTCATTTATTTATAAATTATAAATAGTTAGTCCTGGAACAAAGAGAGCACTGACAACCTGCCCTCAGCTAAGAAGAAAACTGATGCTCCCTTTCTAGCATGGAAAAGAGTCAAGATGCCATTGCAGTAACATTGTAGTTTGATTCCCTGCTTTTCCCAGCCTTGGGACCTTAAAGCAAAATTGTTATAAAACTTGCCTTGCAGTTTACTTATCTGTACTTGCCTTGTTGCCCTGCATAGATAGAGGACTATCAAATAGTTAAAGGAGTAGTTACTTTGAAATATTATTAGAAATTATAACAAATATATAGTTAATAAGCATATACTATACCACACTTCTAGGTTTTTTTTCCCAAAAGAAATGAAAACTTGTGTTCACACAAAAACCTGTGTTTGAGTGTCTTTAGTGGCTCCATTAATAATCTCCAAAACCTGAGAATATTCTGTCTTTCAAAGGATGAATAGATAAACAAACTGTGGTACATCTATACAATAAAAAGAAATGAATTATTGGTACACACAACAACTTGGGTGAATCACAATAAGAAGAAATGAGTTATTGGTATACACAACAACTTGGGTGAATCTTAAAGACATTGTGCCGAGTGAAAGAAGCCAGTCTTAAAGGAATATGTGTGGTTCCATTTACATGACATTCTCAGTAAGACAAACTGTAGTGATGGAGGACACATCAGTAGTGCCAAGAGTCATGAGACAAGGCAGGGTGTGACCATGAAAGGACTGTAAAGTTAAAAAATGAATTCATGTTGGGCGTGATGACACACTCCTGCAATCCCCGCTGTTCAGGAGGCTGAGGCAGGAGGATTGAAAATCAAGGGCAAGCTCAGCAACTTAGTGAGCCCCCATCTCAAAATAAAAAGCAAAAAAGGACTGGGGATGTGACTCAGAGTTAAAGCTCCTCTGGGTTCAATCTCCAGTACCAAAAATTAAAAATAAATAAGTAAACTCATGTATTCTTTTATTGAAGAAGTAAGGAAGATAAATTTTATATATATGCTCTTTAGATAACATGGTACATATAAGCATTTAATACATTTTGGGTGCTTATTACCAACAACACTTCTACTCACTTTACTTTTAATTCTTGGCTTCTTTATATTTTGATGCTGCAAGAATAGTCCACAGAGCTCTCCTGTACCAGATGCCTTAATTGTTCACATGTTGCTGTACTTGCTTTACAACTCTGTCACTATTAATACATGTGCATTTTTTGGTGGACCATTGAGAACAACCAACCATGACGCAGTCTCGCATTCAATAGCTTATTTTGCTTTTGTACCCCACCCTGCAGTGCTGTCCATCAGGTAGCTCAGCTGTTACTCCACTCATAATCAGTCGACTTCTGATTTTACCTTTGCTAATAGAAATTTCTATCAGAGGTGAGGAGGGGAAAGGCTCTTAAGCCAAGAGACATGCAGAAGGTGACAGTACCTCTTGGCAGGGATAGAACTAGGCCTAGGCCTCTTGTCCCTCTGTCCTGGCATTCTGTGTTGTATAGTCTGCCCTGGGCGCTTGCTGAAGAGTAGATTGTCAACAGCAGATTCTGAACAGGATGACCAAGGGTTTTGCTAGCTTTAGTGAGCAATGTCATGTTCTAGGTTTTGTGGGGCTCTCTGACAAGCCAATGAGTGGCCAGCTCTGCAAACAATCTGAGGTTTCAAAGCAGGTCCTCATAACACAAGAAAGAAACTGCGAGGCAGAGCAGATCTTGCTGGGGCCCACTCTGAACTACCATGAATTGGAAGATGTGACCTGTGTAGACACTGTTGGGAGGAGAAAAATAAAAACCCTTTTTGTGTCTTTGGGAACGATGAGAAGTTAACAAAAGTACAACACTACATTAAAAGTATGTAAAAGTTATGTTGATTTTTTATTGATATTCATTTCTGTCCTTTCTGAAATTTTATTTATTTATTTGGTACTGGTGATAGAATTCAAGTTCTTACATATGCTAGGTAAGCACTCTACCACTAAGCTGCCTCCTCATCCCCTAAAATTTCCATTTGAATTGGGCTTCTTGGTTGTCTGATTAAAAATCTTTGTCACAGTGATAGAGCATATGCTTGGTATGCATGAGTCCTTGGGTTCAATCCATAACATGAAAAAAAAAAAGAAAAGGCAGCTCTCAGTGGTGCAATGGGGGAGGCTGAGAAAGGAGGATTGCAAAGTTTGATGCTAGCCTCAGCAGATTAGCAAGGCCCTTTGTCCCAAAATAAAGAAGGCTGGGGATGTAGCTCAGTGGTAAAGGATATCTGGCTAAAATCCCCAGTATCCAAAAAAAAAAAATGCTTGGAGTAGATTTCACTGGTAGAGCATTTGCCTAGATGCATGAGACCCTGGGGTCTGAACTCCAGCACCAAAAGAAGAAAAGAAAGAAAGATACAAAAAATCTTTGTATATTGCTTTTCTTTCCTTTCAGTATATTTGGGCTTGGTGAATCAGGAAGTGTCTTACAACACTTCTTGGTCTATGCTTTTTCAGAGCTAAGTTGAGGGAAATGCCTCTAGTACTCAGTCATAGGGACCAACCTGTCAATATTTGTGCATGTGTAAGGAAGAAATAACCTCTAGGTGTAGCCTCAGGCATCATCATATTCTCTTCTGAATTTAAGATGATTTGCTTTTCCTACAAGGGGACCCAATCTCAAGAAAAGGATTCATTTTTTTTAAATTATGATGTTTGTTTTGTCTTATGTTTCAATTTTCTACCTCTTCAGAGACTAGGCATTGAAAAGACTGACCCTGCCACACTAACAGATGAAGAGATAAACAGATTTGCAAGACTGGATATTGATCCGGAAACCATAACTTGGCAAAGAGGTACTAAAGCCCAAGGTGTTTGGTTATACTGCTCGCCCCATGCCCTCCAGGAGAGTTGTGAAAATGTGAAGTCCAGAAGCTCCTGGGTTGGTATTTTCATGGTTAAGGCATGACCAAGATGGTGACATTATTTTTCTTGCCACCCCCTCTTATCAGCTGCCATCAAACCCCCTTGGCTGGATGGGGAGAACATTTTGCTATCTATTCAGTGTTGATTGAAATGAGGGTGGTTTCAAGGATGTTCATGCATAAACCAAAAATAACGTTTTTAAAGTTCCATTTTATGCAAAAAGTTTTGGTGTCATGAAGTAGAGAAATTATGTTTAATCATTTCTTGAATCATGTGTGCCCTTTATTCTAGAACTCTTGTCTGGCATCAGTGAGTTGATTTTTCTTGTAGCTCTTCAGCTTGCCTAATCATTTTTACTTCATTTTATTGGATTCTTTTGTAGCAAATTAGATAGCCTCCGGGGTTTAAATACTTAAGAATTTAGCTAGTGAGTTGCCCGGCTCCACCACCATATGTTGCTTTTCTCCACGCACAATTAGCATGGCTTACAATTTTATTTTGTACCAAGGGTGCATCCATCTATTTTATATTACTGCTGAGAAGAAATTCTCATCATCATGCAGAATACAGCTAAAGGGCAATATATTGGCTGTTTTTGTGATTTTTATTGGCATGGAAACTGTTAATGGTGTTTTTAACATGACACGCTTTAATATCTAAAACCACACTGGTAGGTCTGCCTTTGCTTCAGCAGTTTTAAATAGATGGTATAATGTTTTACCAGGAATAAACTAAAGATCCATTTTGAAAATTTAATATCTCATTTACTTTTCTTTTGCTTTGTGTCTATTCTTGACAGACAAAAAATGGATCACAAATTTAACTAGCTATTTGATACAGAAAAATTAGTTATAAGGAACTGGATAGTATATATTTTGAAAAGTAAGGTGTAACTCCAACAACACATTGTTTTGTGCACTTACTGAGTAAGGCTGTGTGTCTCCTGAGTACGGCAGATTACACTGCTTTTGGTGTTTAAGTCATTAGTCTTTTTTGGTGAGATTGAACCCAAAGCCTTGTGTATGCTAAGTACATGCTCCAAACATTATTATAGTTTGTTTTTTTAAAATATTTTTTTAGTTGTAGATGGACGCATACCTTTATTTTATTTGTATGTGGTGCTGAGGATCAAACCCAGTGTTTTCCACATGCGCGGTGAGCGCTCTACCACTGAGCCACAACCCCAGCCCTATTGTAGTTCTTATACAAACTAATTCCTATTACCAAGTTCCTTAAAAATACTTTTCCTTGGGTCTTCAGTGGTAGTGCTCCTACCTCATATGCATAGGCCCTGTGTTTAGTCCTCAAAATTGGAAGAATATAAATGCTTCTCCTCTTTGACTCCTTTTACGTATGAACTGGGTTCCGCTTTGGCTTGGTGGTTGTCCGTTTTGGGCTTTGCTGTTGGTGTGCTTGGCATTTCATGCAGAAGTGGCACCTCTTATTCTCCTGTGTGCCCACACTGCTCTCAGTACTTTCCTTCTGACACCAGATGTCTGGAGGTTTTGTTTTTCCCTCCCAGAACAATTCAGTTCAGTTTTCCAGTGGATACTGACTGGGTATCTCCCAATTTAACCCCATCTGACACAGTCTGAAGTAGATCCTAGTAGTAAATTAAGGGTCCATCTCTCAATCTGCCCTCCCTACTGCATACTTCAATCTCAAGCCCAAAATGTCACCTGGCTGTAAATTGGAGGCTCTCATGACCTCCTCCTTAAGTTTGATCATTTGTTAAATCCAATTAAGGACTCAGGGATACACTGTTTATGTTTATCTGTTTGTGTGTGTGTGTGTGTGTGTGTGTGTGTAGTATTTCAGTACTAGGGATTGAACCCCAGGGCACTCTGCCCCAGGAAACTCTATCATTGAGCTATACCCCTAGCACTTTGTATTTTAAAAATCATTTTGAGACAGGACCTTGCTAAATTGCCTAGTCTGGCCTCTAACTTGTGATCCTCCTCCTCAGCCTCCTAAATCACTGGGATTATAGGCCTATGCCACCATTCCCTGCTTGCCAGTTTATTATAAAAGATATAACTCAAGAATAGTCTGGGGCTGGGATTGTGGCTCAGCACTAGAGCACTCGCCTAGTGCGTGTGAGGCCCTGGGTTCGATCCTCAGCACCACAAATAAATAAATAAAAAGAAAGGTATTGTGACCAACTATAGCTAAAAACAAAATAAGTATTTAAAAAAAAAAGACTAGTCTAATGGAGGGCTGGGGTTTTGGCTCAGTGGCAGAGCACTTGCCTTGCACATGTGAGGTACTGGGTTCGATCCTCAGCACCACATAAAAATAAATAAACAAAATAAGGGCTGGGGATGTGGCTCAAACGGTAGTGTGCTCGCCTGGCATGCGTGCGGCCTGGGTTCGATCCTCAGCACCACATACAAACAAAGATGTTGTGTCCGCCGAAAAACTAAAAAATAAATATTAAAAAAATAAATAAATAAAATAAAGATATTGTGTCCATGTATAAATACAAAAAAATTTTTTAAAAATAGTCAGATGGAAGATAGGCAGGATACATCACCTTCCTAGCACCTTAATGTGTTCCCCAGCCTGCAAACTCATCAAATCTTATTATTCAAGAGTTTTTCATAGACCTTGATCTCTCTCCCCTAATCCTCTTCTTGGGGTTGGTGGATGGGGCTGGAATTTTCAAACTTCCAATCATTTGATCTTTCTGGTGACCAGGACCCTCCTTCTGCTCTCTAGGGGACTGTCACCTTATTAGAATAAACTCATGTGACTAAAAGGGATTTTTTATGAATAACAAGACACTCCTATCACCCTTAAAATTCCAAAGGCTCTCGGAGCTTTGTGCCAGGAATGGAGCTTTGTGCCAGGAATGTAGGACACACATCAAATGTACTCTTCCTATATTATGCATAAAAAAGCCAAAGTTAGGGAGGCACTACCATAGTACTAGGAGGTAGGATTATATATAGCTGGGTGGCCTGTGCCGAGTTTTCCAAGGTTATATAATTAGATGTATATTCTGTCATTTGAATAGAATGTGCTAAAGGAAAGACCAAGCCTTTTACCTGGCATGTTTTCAAACGGCATTGTCATTTGCTGTGAGTCTTTGTCTCTTGTTTCTTAGAATGGAATAAGGTTAACAAGTTCCTCCACAGAGCAACACAAACCTCAACCATTTTAAAGAGTGCACTCTTAAAATATATATATTAGCATATATATATATGCTAATATAGAATTTGCTTAAAAATAGATTCCAGCTGGGCACAGTGGTGCACGCCTGGAATCCCAGTGGCTTGGAAGCCTGAGGCAGGAGGATCACAAGTTCCATGCCAGACTGAGCAACTTACTGAGTCCTTATCTCAAGATAAAAAATAAAATAGGCTAGGGATGTGGCTCAATGGTTAAGCACCTCTGGGTTCAATCCCTGGTTAAAAAAAACAAAAAAAAAATAGATTCCAGATTTCTAATTAGTTGTTTGAATTCTCTAGATGAAATAAAAACAGCCACTCCACTTTCACTTGATTTAAAAATAATTCCTGTACATTTCTGGTATGTGAATATTATTTCTTAACTCATACTCTAACTTTGCCATCAAAGCTCTGCTGCTCCCTTAAGCAGGTCCTTTTACTAAACACCATTCTGTGTCTTCCCTTTCCATTATAGTGTTGGACACTAATGACAGATTCCTGAGGAAGATCACCATTGGACAGGCTCCAACAGAGAAAGGGCACACACGGATGGTAACTATTTGTTCCTTCCCAAGTAAATTAGCTTGTGTGAACTAGATCTTGCTGCTTTATCCTCCTCCATCCTCCCTGTACGACTGATACTGCCAGGTGTTGTTCTGCCTTCTCCCTTTTAAAATGGAAGTGAGTAGGTGTGATATTGAGCACTCCTGACAGCTTTTGCAATAAATCCCATGTGTCACCTGTGTGGTTTTCCCCCAGCATTTTTTCCTGGAGGTGGAGAGGCCCAAGTGAATATCCTTGTATATAAATTGGTTAAAATTCCTCCTCTTTTGTGGTCATTTGACAAAATGTCTCTCCATAAAAGTGACTGTGTTGTCCCTTGTTTGGGGAAACCATAAACACAATTCCAAGATGCCTTCACAGGGATAAAACAATAGCTTCCTGGTCATTCTAGAACATTTATTTTAAAAATTGGCTACTCAAGGACTTGGAATAAGTAATTTAAAAATTTTCTATTGCAGGATCATTTTCATGAAATTCTTTGTGTCATATCTGCTATTCCAACCTTTTAAGTATTTATTTAAGGCATAGGATGCCAAATAGGATGACATTTTGCAATTCAAAAAAAAAAAATTGTTTTCAGTTTAACACAGAGGTTTTTGTTCTTGTCTCTTTTTCTTGCCCACAGGCGCAGTTTGATATCTCTGTGGCCAGTGAAATCATGGCTGTGTTGGCTCTCACCAGTTCTCTGGAAGACATGAGAGAGAGGCTGGGCAAAATGGTGGTGGCATCCAGCAAGAAAGGGGAGCCCATCAGTGCAGAAGATCTGGTAAGTGCCCAGGCACACCAGGCTTGGTGACACATTGGAGCCCACTGTCCTAGGGTCTCTCAGTGGTTACTACTAACAAAAACTATGCCCTTCTTAAGACATTGTAATCTACTTATCAGTATGATTATGCTAATGACAAGATAACTATGAAATTTATAAATAGTAATTCATAGTGAATAATAGGTATTATGCTCCAGATGATTTAAGTAACGTCTTCATCCTGTTAGTTCATGGCTTCAGTTTTCAGAGAACATCTACAGGCCAAATGAGGCCTTTAGAAAGTGAATTTGGAGTCACTCCTGGGCCCCTCCCCATGACATGTGGCTTCCTGCATAGAGGCCTCTTGGGGCTTTTAGCCCTGCATCTATCCAGATAACTGCATTGGAAAAACTCATTAGCCATTTCGTTGATGGTCCTACTAAGTTGGCTGTCTACTTCAGGGTTATTTCTGAACTGTCTGGTAATAGGAGATTTGAAATGAGAAATTTTTTTTCTTTTTCTTCTTTATTGTATCTCTTTGGAAATGAGAATTTGTTTGTTTGTTTGGGGGGTTTTATTTGTTTTGTGGTACTGGGAGTTGAACCCAAGGCCTCATGTATGTAAGGCAAGCACTGTAACACTGAGCTACATCCATGGCCCTTTTTATTTTGAGATAGAATCTTGCTAAGTTGCTGGGGGTGACCTTGAACTTGAAATCCTGCTTCAGTTTCCCAAGTAGCTGGTATTACAGGCGTGTGCTGTGGTACCCTACAGAATGAGAAATCTTATTATAGTTGAAGTTTTAAAACCTATATTGGGGTTGAGGTTGTGGCTCAGTGGTAGAGCATTCGCCTAGCATGTGCAAAGTCCTAGGTTCGATCCTCAGCACCACATAAAAATAAATAAAGGTATTGTGTCCAACTATAACTTAAATAAATAAATAAAACCTATATTATATTAACCAAATTAGTTGACTTGTGATAGTGGTATGGCAGAAGAATTTAGAAAAGAGAGAAAGTATTAACTTTCTGTTTTCGTAGTCAAATATATGAATTTAATATGTATTTTAAATTTTCACATCCTTGCCTTAAATTTAGGAACTCATTAATATTGAATATAGGATTATGTATTAGAGAACTTGTCTAGCATGCATGAGGTTTTCATCTCTAGCAATCACCCACCAGAAAAACAAAAAATTTAGTATAAATGGGAATTATTGCTTTATTTTCTGTTGTCACCAATTTGTTTGGCTATATGGATGGCTTAAAGGAGGAACCTGGAGCAAGAAGATCACGAGTTCAAGGCTAGCCTCAGCAACTTAGGGAAACCTTGTCTCAAATAAAAAGAGCTGGGGGATGAAGCTCAGTGGTAGAGTAACCTGGGTTCAATTTCTAAAGCACTGAAAGAAAAAATGGGGGATCTGATATCTAAGAGTTGGTATTGAATTTTTGGGTAATATTTTAATTTCAGTTTTGGGAAACACATAATGCATTTCTGTTCAGATACCAAAGTTACAAATAATTCATTCCTCTAGGAACTAACATTTCTGTGCTGTAAATGAGCCTGAAATGGATTCTTCATATTAGTCAGCAACAGAGCTTGATTGAGATGCTTGTTTCTAGAACATGTTTTTCCAGAAATTGCATGTGAATATCATTTTCATTCCACTTGTTTTCCCTGCTTAAAATAACTGGTAGCTTCAATGAATGGTCTAGTTTAGCTGAAACTACTAATTGGTCCAAGATGACTAAAAAGGGAACAGCTAGAATGTCAAAGGTTTTTTTTTTTCTTGCTGGCACGAGCTGATACTTCCTGCTACTTGTCTCGCAGGGGGTGAGTGGCGCGCTGACGGTACTGATGAAGGATGCAATCAAGCCCAATCTCATGCAGACGTTAGAGGTAAGCACAGGAATCCCTGTCCTCCAGAATTGGTTTTTGACTTTCAGAGCAGTGATTAGAAAGTACGCTTTCCTTGGGCAGTCAGAGAGCTTTTCTACTGCTCATCTCTTATCTTTTTGACAGTTGTGACTGGGAGAATACTGAAATATATGAGATGGCTTTGTATTTTCCCTCTGGGAAGTTTTCTTTAAAATTCCAACTAAATTCCATGCTCTTGACTGCATGATCCCGTTTTGAAGCAGGGTTGACGGTGCTGCTCATGGTGTCCTGGTTTCCACAGGGCACCCCGGTGTTTGTTCATGCGGGACCATTTGCCAACATTGCACACGGGAATTCTTCCATCATTGCAGACCGGATTGCGCTCAAGCTTGTTGGCCCAGAGGGCTTTGTCGGTGAGAACTTTTGCAATGTCGGTGAACAGGCTTTTTCCTGGAACATGAGGGGTTGGGGTAGCATTTTTACAGTTGCTCTTCTCCTCCCTTGCAGTGACCGAAGCAGGATTCGGAGCAGACATTGGAATGGAAAAGTTTTTTAACATCAAATGCCGATATTCTGGTCTCCGCCCTCATGTGGTGGTGCTTGTTGCCACTGTCAGGGCTCTTAAGATGCACGGTGGCGGCCCCACGGTGAGGATCTAGGGTCGGAAGGGTCTGATTATCAGGAATGTTCAGTGGCTCAAAGGAAGTTGGATAACTCTGCCTGCATCAACAGTAACCTGCTCTTGTCCTCATAATTAACAGGGTGCTAAAGCAAGGGGTGGTCACACAGCTCGGTGCTGTCTGCCTTATCACTCATAGGCATGTCGTCAGCTCTTGGCATTTTAAGAGGGCTGAAATTGGCTTTGTGGCCTGCCTCTCTGAGGAAACATCTGACAGTATCTAAACTCCTCCAAGGACATGTGCTTAGCTATACGATGCACAAAAAAGTTCCTTTATGTCAGCCTGTTCTCTGTGAATCTGAATCTCATTTTACTTCTAAATAGGGACATTGGCAGCTAGCCAACCACACCATTTAGCTGAGGCACAAGTCAGTTCCTTGAGAAGTTCTTGGTGGACAGGGCCACTGACAGCAGGAGGGCAGAGGACTAGTCAGTGAGGGCAGGTGAAGGAGAATGATAGAGCCTCTTAGGACTACTGGGTGATAAAGAAGCATGTATTAGACTAGCTTATCTTCTGCTTCAACCTGTACTAGGTTTTCCTGAATTCCAACTTTGTAGAAATTGCACTTTTTGCTGGGCATTGTGTTGCATGCCTGCAGTCTCATTGACTTGGGAGGCTGAGATAGGAGGATCACAAGTTTGAGGCTAGCCTCAGCAATTTAGAAAGGTCCTAAGCAATTTAGTTTTAAGTACTAGGGATTGAGCCCAGGGGCACTTGGACACTAAGCCACATCCCCAGCCCTGTTTTGTATTTTATTTAGAGACAGGGTCTCACTGAATTGCTTAGGGCCTCACTTTTGCTGAGGCTGGCTTTGAACTCATGATCCTCCTGCCTCAGCCTCCTGAGCCACTGGGATTTATAGGCATGCACCACCACAATCAGCCCTAAATTGTGAGACCTTGTCTCAAAATAAAAAATAAAAGGTTTAGGGAAATAGCTCAGTGGTAAAGCACCCCTAGGTTCAATCCCCAGTACCCACCCGCCATACTATTTATTCTAGTATTTTAACATGTTTTAATCAGCACCAGCATAGAAAGACATGGTGCTAGTTTTCAGAAAACACTGAAATTAAATTCCTATTCTCCAGGAACTTGTATTATAACTTGGGAAATAAGATCTCCCTCATCTACTGAATAAAATCAGTGTTTCTTAGTGAGGTGACGAGCATTGTCCTATTGTAGTGATTCTCAAGTATTTTGGCTTCAGATCCTCTTTGGTACTCTTAAAATTCCTTGAAGATTTTGATTCCTGGCATTTAAAAAAAAAATTGTTGAAGGCTTATGAGAGCTTCTGCTTATATGTGAGTTATACTATTAATATATTAGAAACTAGCACTGAGTTATACATTAACATAAAGAACTTCTATGAAAGTTACTATATTTTTTGAAAAAAAAAAAAATGGGCATCATCTATTTTCAGATCACTTCTGTATCTGGTTAGCTGAAGACAGCTGGATTCTCATCTTTGCATTTGACCTGTTGTGATATCTTGTGTCACATAATAATCTCTGGAAAGTCCATGTTATACCTAATGAGAGAATGAGTGAAAAGGACCCTGAGATCTTGGCTCTATTAGGAAAACAGTTCTGGCCTCAGGGCTGTTTGAAGACTTAGGTTTCCCAGACCACAGTGTGACAGTGGGTGCCCTCCACACTCCAACACACCTCCCAGAGCTCTGGGTCTTAGTTACTCCTGGGGTACTAAAGGTACTTCTGACCCAGGACACCCCTTTGTGCTAGCAGTGCAGGATAAGCTCCCCTTTTCATAGCCAATATTCCTCTCTTTCATCTACATACCATTGTCCCTCCTTTGCTTCCTTCCTCTTGACCTTGTGGTCTGAACAGCAAGAATTCTGGGTACTTATCCTGGCCAGCCCTGAGAGGGGGCTTTGCATGTACTACACATGACCTCGCAGATGGAAAGATGTGTAAGCTCCTTGCTTCCTGCCCTGCCTCCACATGGCCCCCTGAAGTTGGAGCATGGTAGTCTCCCTGAAGAACTCAGGCAGACTGACCTGGAGTGTTCTTCATTACCATCTGCCAACCATGCTGGGTCCATGGAATCAGCACCTTGATCCCCTTGCTTATCCCTGGGGATGCAGCAGAGCTGCATCAGGACATGGTACCCAGGCATCTACACACAATGAACCCACTGCTTAAGTATTTAGTTGCTTTCAGTTGTCCTCTATGATGGAATTCTGTTGTTTTCCCTCGCTTATATTATACCTGTGCCAGGGTTTGGCTCCCCCAAGTTATTGGCTGGCCCTGTGGACCAGCTCTTGAAACTATGACAGGGTCATCACAGGTTCCATCAACTGACATCCAAGGGTGATCTTTGCAGGCCTGGCTGCTGCCTTTCCCATGCTCACCTTTACTCCTCCCCTGCTATAGTTTTCTTCACTTACTGAGGACACTGGTCCTGCCTGGAACATGTTCCTTTTGACCTCTGCTGTCATAGATCTGTCATTTCTCACCTCTTACTTTACCTCACAAAAGTCCCCCCCACTTGGGCTGGGGTTGTGGCTTAGCGGTAGAGTGCTCAACTAGCACGTGTGAGGCCCTGGGTTCGATACTCAGCACCACATTAAAAAAAAATAAATAAAAATAAAGGCATTAAACAACAACAATAAAATTCTAGAAAAAAAAAAAAGTCCCCCCACTTTGCTCAAAGGAGTTCTTGCTCTGTGCTGTGTGCTTGGTCACTTGCCCTAAGTCCTTGGGGCAGGAAGCAACCTCTATCGCTGTATAACCCCCAAGCATGCAGCCTTTCACCCATTACCCAGGACAAGCACCATTTTAAGCTAGAGCCTAATTGTAAGTAGGGAGTACATCTGATTTTGTGTCCTTTTCTTGCAGGTCACTGCTGGACTGCCTCTTCCGAAGGATTACATAGAAGAGGTAACTTCTGTTATTTCTAATTATTTGCCTTAGAAAGCACCATATCCCAAATCAACCTGGCCCATGGGGAAATAAAATGGATGTGGTTATGATCCAGGGTTGCTCCTGGGAGTTCAGGATGCTAAAAGGCAGTGTGCTGAAGGTTGTATTAAATGAGTAGTAGTAAGTGGAACTGCCTCACAGAAGAGATCAGTAAACCACTGATACCGACCCATCACTGGTTCTCAGTGGGGTGATTTTGATCTCCTGGGATATGGGACATGGCCGTGTCTAAGGACATTTTTTATTGTTAGAGCTGGGGGTGGGGAGTGTACCTGGCATCTAGTGGATAGAGGACAGGGATGCTGTTTAAAATCCTATAGTGAGCAGGATAGCCCCCCAGTGAAGAATTATCCAGCTCAAAATGTCAGTAGTACTGAGGTTGAAAAACCCGGCCCTAACCCAATGGAAGTTTCCTGGACTGTCTTCCCTGCTTTGGCAGGATGAGTCCCTAATGCCATTGAAATCAGAAGCAAGTAGGAACCTTTTAGAAATAACCTTTTCCTCTGCAGATTTAAGCACATATTAAAGAGCCAAGATAATAATATCCTGGTTGTTTTGTAGGCACATCTTCCATAAGCTGATTCGGTTTATAGTATCAAGCAGGAGCCAGAGAACAATTTATGAGAATAAACCTTTTCATATTGATAATGTTTACCATCAAAGAAACATCTCTAGAGCCAGATTTGGTGGCTCCATGACAAACAGGCCCTCAGATAAGTTGCAGGGTCATCTGCTGTCATGGTTAATTCAATTTTTCTGCCTTTTGGAGGCCTTTACATTATCCAGTAATACAGGGTCATTATGTAGGTCTCAAATAAAGTATTTCAAAATTGGCTGGAAAAAAACTGTTAGTGCCTTGAGTCTGCCTGTCTTCTGTGTGATGATTTGCCTTTTATGGTCATCCGTCTGAGTCATGCGTAGGAGGGGAATTCACAGTTCTGGCCCTTCTGCCACCCCACAGCCTCTCCTGTGTCTAATTACAGTGACTGCCCCAAACTGGCCCAGCTGGTGTCTTCATTTAAGAAATTCTACTTGTTTAAACCCTTCTCAATCAGTCTTACATATGAATTGGATTTCATGTGATTAGAGGTTAAGAATTAGCAATGCTTTTTAAAATGCCAGATAAATCCTAATCTTAGTTTACAATTATTAAAGAAAAAAACCCATAAGTCACATTTATAATGAGCCTATTTGTTTTCTACCTTTAACCTGTTGCTGTTTGAGGGGTCCACAATCAAGCACTAATACTACTAGGCTTTTTTCATGGTATATATGTATACATATCATTATGTATATGTATTTTTGGAGATGATGACTATATATATATATTTAAATATATAATCTTTTGGGGTTATTTTTATTTTTTTTTTCAATTCTAGGGATGAAACCCAAGGTCTTACTCATACTAAGCAAGCACCCTACCACTGAGTTATACCCCGGTCTCTTGATATATTTTTAAGCTATTGACAGTAACATACCCTTTGTTTTTTTAAAAAAAAAAAACAAACTTAAACATTACAAGAATATAATAAGTGATTGGAATTTCTTTAAATTTTAATATTTAAAATTTTTTCTTGAATTATTCAAGTACTTTTTGTACAAAAAAAAAGTAAGCTCTCCTTAGTTGTGCAACTTTAGTACATCTTGGGTGGAATCTATGCTAACACAGATCAGTGTCACTTTTCATAACATCTGTATGATGAATATTTATTGAGTGAGGTTATACTTCCGTGGCCTGAACCCCTGTAACGGAGGTTAGTAGTGTTTGCAATTTTCTAATGGTGGAAGCAGAACTGTAGTAACATTTAAAGATATGTTTCCTTAGTATTTGGTTATTTTTTTGTGTGTGTGTGGTACTACATTGAATCTAGCCTTTTTTATTTTTTACAGGTCTTATGTTGCTGAGCCTGGCCTAGAACTTTCAATTCTCTGACGTTAGCCTCTCAAATTAGCCCCCCAAATTACTGGGATTATAGGTTATATGTGTTTGCCAATGGGCCTGGCCTTTTTTTGTCTGTTTTGTTTTTTGTTTTTGAGATGAGGTTCTCACTATGTTGCCCAGGCTGGTCTCAAATTCCTGGACTCAAGAGATCCTCCTGCCTTGGCCTCCCAAATAACTAGGATTGCAAGCCTGTGAGAGCATCACTGATGTCGTCATAGGTCTTCTACAGTAAAGGATAGTGAATGCCTCTTTTGTGCCAGGCTCTGTTTTCTAATGGAAGGGATTATACTGTGCTGAAAAGAGTCTGTATTTTTGTAGCATTTGTGTGTATACAATCCATAAACATCATTTAGGTAGGGGCAACTCATCCCCTTCAAACAGCAGCAGAGCTATTAAGATGTGGCTAATAGATGTGGTATAATGACCACAAATCCCCCAGCTCTTGTGTTTTCAAGGTGATGAGGGTACGGGCATAGCTCCAGTGCTGCAGGTGGAGTTACAGCTCCTTCCTCCTCCACAGCATCCACTCATCAGGAGTGAGTTGCCTCATTGGCCTTTCTTTTACTTGTCGGCTTGCCTCTGTGTCCTGGCAATGAAAGGCTACTCACTCAAGGAGGCCGTTTGCCTTTTAAGAAGAAGCTGCAACCATCTGCTCTCTGATCTTACAGACCTGTCACTCTTGTTTTACAGAACTTGGAGCTGGTTGAAAAAGGCTTCAGTAACTTGAGGAAACAAATAGAAAATGCCAGAATGTTCGGAGTTCCTGTAGTGGTGGCTGTGAATGCATTCAAGTAAGTACAGAGCATAAGAGAAAAGGGCGGGGGTGGGGGGGAATGTGGAAAATAGCCAGGAAGCATTTCCTATAGCTAACTGTTGAGAGGTGCTTTTAGCTTCATTTTGTTCTTCAGTTGCTGCTACTGGTTACAGCCTGCGGGTTGAGCCTGTAATTTGACAGGTACCACATATATCACAGCAAACTCACTGCCTTACCTTCTGAAGGTCCAGAAGTGAGATTCAGTCCTTGTGGGGGTCCCTTTTCAAACACTGAGTAAGGTAGATAACACACAAGATGGAGGTTTAATGCTTCTTTGGCTGATAGAGGCCCTTTGTACTAGCAGAAGATTGTAGCCTGCAGTCTTCCATTATTTCTCTAGGTCTGGTGGGATGGTGTCTTGATGGAGTTGAACATGTTGAGCTGGAAATGCTCATGCGAGGACTTGTGTGGGTTGTTTGGCATTTTGGTACTGGTTTGGGTTTTGTTATAATGGCCTCACCACAGTAGAATGGAAAGCAAATTTTTGAAAAGCTAGTATTTATTGATTCCTGATAGTGTTCTGGAAATGTTCCAAGTACTTTCCATCTAAGCCTCATGACATTCCAATGAAATAAGTGCTGTGATTATTCCCATTTTAACCCATGTGGGATTTGAGATACATAAAGATGTTTTGGCCAAAAGTTACCTAGGTAGTTAGTTGTGAAGATAAGATTCAAACCCAGGCAGTATTATTTGTATTGACTGATTTCCATTTATCAGTGGGTAACTCACATCTCACATGGGGTTTAATGGCATAAAGAAGTTGTACTTTGTCCTTTCCAGCCATCTTCCATGCTTTAACGTGAAGCACTCCTTTACAGGACAGACACAGAGGCCGAGCTGGACCTCATTAGCCGCCTTGCCAGAGAACATGGGGCCTTTGATGCCGTCAAGTGCACTCACTGGGCGGAAGGGGGCAAGGGTGCTTTAGCCCTGGCTCAGGCTGTCCAGAGAGCTGCACAGGTGCCCAGCAGCTTCCAGCTCCTTTATGACCTTGAGGTGGGTTACTTGCTATATGGGGAAGAAAAAAAAAAAAGTATAGTGAGGTTTCTGTGTGGCTATCTCTGTAGAGCCCATGTGTAGCAGCTTCAGCCTCTCAACCTTGTGGTTTCACTTCCTACATGGGCGAGTTACAGTAGGACTAAAGACTGGACTCTCAGCTCCGGATAACTGTAAGATTGCATTTTGTTTTCAGTTCTCTGTCCCATGTACTTCAGGATGTGGTCGAACATTAAGTAGTATGTCCACAATTGGCAACTCAGTTAAGAATATGGAATGAATGGTGCAGTTCTGGTTGTAATTCTATAAGCTGGTTCCTGGCTTGGTTTTTACAAGATATCATAGACTTTGAAAAAAAATTAAAAACATAAAAAAGCAGAAGGAAGAAACTCAATTACTCTTGTAAAATAAAGGTAAAATACTGATTGCTTTTAATACAGTGTTTATATTGATATAATACACTGCCAAATTCCTCTTTGTCTTGTTCCTGTTTGTCACTTGCAGATATAATACACTGCCAATTAGTTAACTTCTTTGCCAGGAGTGGTGGCACATGCTTGTAATCTCAGCAACTTGGGAGGCTGAGGCAGGAGGATTGCAAGTTCAAGGCCAGCCTCAGCAATTTAGTGAGGCCCTTAAGCAACTTTGTAGGACTTTATGTCTTAAAATATACAAAGGGCTCTGGATATGGCTCAGTGATAAAGCACACAGGTTCGATCCCCAGTACAAAAAAAAAAAAAAAAAAATCTCCTATTGACAGACATTCTCTTGTTGAACTCTGTTTTTTTTTTTTTTTTTTTAAATGGAATTTTGTGTTTATTTTGTTTTAGTGGTGCTCTCAAACATGGTACTCTCATATGGTAGGCCAGTGCTCTACCACTGAGCTACTCCCTAGCCCCTGAACTTTGGTTTTTATAGATGGGTTTGAAAATCTTTTCAACCAATCATCATTCTAGAAAATGGTACACAAAGTGCAAAGTACTTACAGTTACCCTCTCTAAACCCCTATCCACAGCACTTAAGTCAGAAACTACAGTTCTTAAAGCAAGCAGGAGACATGGAAGAAGTAGGGTAACAAGGACTTTTTAACCCATTTCTGCTTGGAGCTTTTCTCTGCTCTGACATAAGACAAAGCTACTGCTTTTTGTCTTATTCAATATCTGCTAGTCTTAGATCACCCCTCAGCCAAAGTGCTTTTTGCTTCAGAAGTTCTCAATGTGCCTTGGCATTTAATAAGCCCCAGTTATAAGATGCATATGAAAGTAATCTATTGCATCTTTTTTTATTACTCCTTTCAAAAAAAAAAAACAAAAAACTTGCCCAATATATTCTTTTAGTCTTAGTTGCTAAGGAATAGAGAACCAGTTAAAATACTAATTTTAATACAGTATTTATGTGTGTGTGTGTGTGTGTGTACCTTTCTATCAGTGTATCTAACCATACACTCTACACACACACACACACACACACACTCACGTATAATTTTATATAGACAAAATAATTTCACTTCCATGGGACATTCCCCACTTATCAAATCTTGGGCTTGGGATGGGCATGTTGTAATCCCAGATATTTGGGTGGCTAAGGCAGGAGCATTACAAGTTGGAGGGTAGCCTGGACAACTTAATGAGCCCCTGTCTCAAAATAAAAAAGTGCTGGGGTGGTAGAGCACCCCTGAATTCAATCCCCAGTATCACAAAAATATTAAAAAATTAAAATTTTTTTTAAAATCTGGGGCTTGGCAAAAGACCTAAGAAGACCATACTACAGGGACACAGCCACATCAATGTTTATAGCAGCACAATTCACAATAGCTAGAATGTGACCAACCTAGATGCCCTTCAATAGATGAATGGATTAAAAAAATGTGGCATTTGTACACAATGGAATTTTACTCAGCTCTAAAAAATAATAAAATCATGGCATTTGCAGGCAAATGGATGGCATTAGAGCAGATTATGCTAAGTAAAGTTAGCCAATCCCTAAAAAACAAATGCCGAATGTCTTCTCTGATATAAGGGGGGTGACTCAAAATGGGATAGGGAGGAAGAGCATGAGAAGAAGACTACCACTAAATAGGGAAGAGAGGTGGGAGGGAAAAAGAGGGAGAAGGGGAGTTGCACAGAAGATGGAAGGAGAACCTCATTGTTATACAGAATACATATATGATGTTGTAATGAGAAAGAAAAAAAAAAGAAGTGTGTTACATTAGATTGGATAGAGAGAAAGGATGGGAGAGGAGGGGAGGAGTAGGGAGGATAGGAAGGGCAGCAGAATAGAATAGACAATATGATTGATGTATGTACATTCCATGTATTATATATCAAAATGCATTCTACTGTCATGTATGACTAAAAAAATAAATAAATAAAAAAATTTTAAAAATCTGGGGCTTGGAATTAACATGTTCCTAAACCAATAAACTTCAAATTATTTGCATATCAATATATGTATATTAAAAAATATGACCCTTTTAGTGACACTGACCTGGAATGTGACCATGTCCCTGTGAGGAGTCCTCATGTATGTCATGGTTTCTCTTTTCTTTCTTGTGTATTAGCTCCCAGTTGAGGATAAAATCAGGATCATTGCGCAGAAGATCTATGGGGCTGATGACATTGAATTACTCCCTGAAGCTCAGCAGAAAGCTGAAGTCTACACAAAGCAGGTAGATGTTGGGCTAGTTTGTTTTTTCCTCCCTTTGCAAAGCAGGCCTTGGAGTCAGAATCCCTGAGTTCTCCCAGCCCTGCCAGTCACCCACCGCTTCACTTCTTTGAATAGCAGCCTTATCACCTCTGAAATCCTGGGTTTGGATAGGTGATTCCATCCAGGGTCTTCCTTTACCCATATGTCGTATGTGAATGTATAGAAAAGCCCTGAGGATATGAGGAATGTCATAACTGAAATATCAAGAACCTTTTCCCGGCTTTATCCTCATGCTCTATTAAGCAGGAGGATAGAGAAATAGAGATAAACATGAAGGTCATCAGCTATTTCAAATAAATTAAAGAAGCTTGTAACCAGAATGCCCTGATATCCTTTTTTGTACTTGTCAACTTTTCATTTGTCCTATTCTTGTTCTCTTTCCCCCCAGGGCTTTGGGAATCTACCCATCTGCATGGCCAAAACACACTTGTCCTTGTCTCATAACCCAGAGCAAAAAGGCGTGCCCACAGGCTTTGTTCTGCCCATTCGTGACATCCGTGCCAGTGTCGGGGCTGGTTTTCTTTACCCTTTAGTAGGAACGGTAAGTGAGGCCACAAGAGAGGAGCCTACTTATGTGTGCTTCTCATCCTAAATGTATTGTTAAGTTGACAATAAAATGCCAAGTTAACAGAGTTCACTGCTGAGAAGAAAGTTGGAGTTAGGCCTATTATGATTAATCCTCATGCTATGGACCATATTGATGTTAGTTCAAATGTGATACTGTGACTACTACTGCATAAAAAATTCAGGGGTAACTTGCCCTTGATTGAGTCCAGCATAGACCGATTGATAGGTTGGGTCAGTGGTAATATATAGGCAGCTCTTCATAGCCATGAGTTCTGTATCTGTAGATTCAATCATCTGTGGATCAAAAGTATTTCTAAAAAATTATCTGTTCTGAACATATACAAACTTTTTAATATATATAATTGTATAGCATTTACATTGCATTATAAGTAATCTAGAGATAATTTAAAGTATAGGAGAGGATGTGCATAGGTTATATGCAACTATTACATCATCTTAAATAAGGGACTTCAGCATCTACAGATTTTAGAAATCATGGGGATCCAGGAACCAACCCCTGATGTTACTGAGGGACAATTATAATCATAATTAGTGTTTATTTGGCACCTTATACTAGATAACTCAGTCCTCCCAGCAGTCCTAGGAGTAAGGACTGAGGTTCTATATGTCCAGGGTTTTACTGACAGGTTTAGAGTTTATGCCTAAAATTCAGGGAGGTCATCATCTTTGAGTAAGGAATTCCTTCATAAAATACAGCTGAATCATACATAGACAAAAAGCAAATTTGCTTACTTACAGGTTTTATGCACATAATAGGAAGGTAGAGAGATGATTAAGGACATAATCGTAGTTTAGACAAATATTGTCCTAACGTTAACATAGATTTGCGCCTAAGATTCCTCTTAGGTCTGCCTGCTATCCTGAATTTACAAATTGTACTTACGTGCAAAACAGAATTGAAATATTCAACTAGACTAGTACAATAAAAAAAAATGCCCCAGGCACATTGCTGCACCCCTGCTATCTCAGCATCTCGGGAGGCTGAGGCAGGAGGATCGAGAGTTCAAAGCCAGCCTCAGCAATTTAGCGAGGTGCTAAGCAACTTAGTGAGACCCTGTCTCTAAATAAAATACAAAATAGGGCTGGGGATGTGGCTCAGTGCCCCTGAATTCAATCCCCAGTACCAAAAAAAGAAAAAGAAAAGAAATGCATGGATGTACTTTTAAAGCTATGCCATTCTTTCAGTACAGTAAGAAAGTGATAGGGGGTGACATTATGCATCCTTTTGAAAGTGCATGATGTCAGAGCTGAATTCAGTTCTTACTTCTGCTGACTTTGGTCTCAGGCAAGGTATGAGAGGTGTGAGCTTATTGACCCTAGCTCACAGCGTGGGCCAACGTCACCATGGAACAATGGCATCAGCACAAGTGCCAGCACACTATTGCCTCCTTGGCCACTCCAGAGAATAAGAGGCTTAGTCTTGTGATGTAATGCTCATCAGTTTGGGGCTTGTAGAAATTTTCTTTTGATAGGAATGTTAAACCAGCACCTGCAGAAATGTATGCTGTTCTTTTGGAGAAATTGTCAGCACTTATCAGCACAAGAGCAGTAGCTGCACTCTGCCTGGTTACTTTCCATGTCCGTATGAAGAAGGGTAATCAAAGAGATGAAAGCAGAGTTGGATGTGGTCAGGCCAGTGCACATCTGCCTGCTCAGACAGCCAGCCTGCCCAGTACAAGACTTTCTCATGGAGAATAAAACTTGGCTTCAGGGGCCTTCAGCTTTAACTTTGACCAAGACTTGCACACATAATCAAATGACTTAAACACTCTTAATAATTCTGTTCTTAATACCTCTTGGTTGCTGTGGGGCCTCAGCAGTGCTCAGAGGATTTATTTATGTATCACTTCAAAGTGTGGTGACTTCTTTTCAGAATTTTATATCTAGGTTTATATATATGTATACACATCATTTTATTTTTTTCTGATTATTAATAACCAATATTTAAGGAAAAAATCATCTTTGGGAAGGAGTAAAAACTCTGAAAATCTTACTGCTGTTTGGGGAACCATTTTTAGAGCTTTCTGCTGACAGGCACATGCACATCTACCCCAGTGGGCACATGTCTCTTGTCTTCATAATATGCAGTCTGCTAGATTTTTCTGCTAGGTCTAAAAACTAGTCCTTTTCTTTTCCATAGTTGTCCTTATCTCTTGCAGAACCCAGGAATAGAAACCAGTTATCAGATCCCTATAGCGTGTATTGTTTGGTGCTCACATGTCAAAATTTAGTTTTATTGAGTATTAATGTTTTGTTTTACAGAAGATGACTCATCCTACTTAACAGTGTTTTTATACTTAAATTTTAGAAATTCAGCCTAAGTTGTTTTCTTGTCTGGTTCTGATTTGGAACTTGTGTGTGTTCATTATACAGGGTATGGTTACACATAAAAATATACCAAGTTCACACTTACAATCCATGTGAATTTGCATCTAAGCAGGTATTTATTAAAGTCAAGACTTTAGAAAAGAAGCAAGAATAAACATATAAGCACTATAAGTTTAAGAGTAATGATTGTACTGGACATAGTAGTGCACTCCTGTAATCCTAGCTACTCAGGAGACTGAGGCAGGAGGATTGCAAGTTTGGAGCCAGCCTCAGCAACTTATCAAGGCCTTAAGCAATTTAGTGAAACCCAGTCTCAAAATTTAAAAAAGGGGGCTGGGTATATGGCTCAGTGGTAAAGTGCCCCAGGTTCAATCCCTGGTACTCTGCACACCCCCCAAAAAAAAAATCACATTAAGTTCATTTTTCATGCTGTTTTACATCCTAGATGAGTACAATGCCTGGGCTCCCTACCCGGCCCTGTTTTTATGACATTGACTTGGATCCTGAAACCGAACAGGTGAATGGACTCTTTTAAACAGGTAAGTTGTTACTGGATAGAGTTTTATTTTTCTTTCCCTCTGTACTATATTTAGTATTACAGAAATCAACAATTGTAAAAATTCAAATTTTAATGCTTTCAAAACATTTCTTTTTGGACTTCACTAAAGGGAGGAGATCAAGAATGAGAGTTAGCAATAGCCAGTGAATGAGATATTTGTATTTCAACACATCTTTAGGAAAAGAGCAGGCTTGTCCTGGGTTGGCTGTGCAGGGGAGAGTGTTGCTGTAATGAACTATGGAGGGCCAGCAGAGAAGGTTAGGCTTGAGCTAAAAGTTGATGGCATGTTGGAGGCCAGACCAGCTAGAGATCTGTATCAACAAGTTTGAACAGACAGAAGGCAGGAGTTGAGTAAATGTCCCAGAAAGCAGAATAAAGAAGAAAATGGGGCTGGGGTTGTGGCTCAGTGGTAGAGCACTTGCTTAGCATGCGTGAAGCACTGGGTTCGATCCCCGGCACCACATAAAAATAAACAAATAAAATTAAGGTATTGTATCTATATGCAACTAAAAAAATATTTAAAAAATGAAGAAGAAGAAAACAGGACCAGTCCAGGAGTTCTTGGGTTCTTAGGTGAATCACAATGAGTGAGCTATCCCTAGGCACATCCAATTGAAATTTCGAAAACATCTAACAAGAAAATCCTAAACAGTCTTTTCCAAATAAGGAAAAAACAAAACAAAACCTGATTTGCCTGTGAAAAAATGAGAATTACACTGAACACCTGTCTTATCATCAATAAGAGGCTTTTTAACAATGGCAACGCAATATCTTCCAAGTTCAGGGAAAGATAACTTTCCCTCTATGTTAACCCATCCAAATCTGTCCAGATGTTTTCAGATATGCACAGATTTGCCACTTCCACATCTCCTCTTAGGAAATTGTTTAGCAATGTACCCTGTAAAAATGAGGAAATAAACTAAGAAAAGAGGAAGATGAGTTTTAGGAAATTGAGTCCTGATTTTGACAGTAACAGGTGTACTGACGACTATGTAAATGATCTCGAGTTACAAATCCAAACTGGAACCAGAGGAGGGATGGCTTGAGAAAGGATGGAAAGAGCTAGAAAAGACAAGGGCATCAAAGGGCAGAATAAAAGCTCTTATATCATTTGAGAAAGTAAAGGTCCAGATGGAAGCACAATGTAACCATTTAAGTCATGGTGAGGATGCTAAGAAGAGAGACTTTGAGCTCAATGCCAGGGAAACTGTGTTCTTTGAGAGGGCATGTGAACTACTGGAAATGCGGTCCTGGCTTACTGCTTGGTGTGTTCCTGAGCAGTATTAACATAACCTTCATGTAAATGCCATGCATTATTCTCCAACCTATTATGGGCAGACCCTAGGAGACTATTGGTGGGAGAGCATATAAATGTCAACAGCTTTAGCAATATGAGTGGGGAATAATGCAGTGTGGAAGGAAAGAAGAAACATTTTGGTGCAAAGAGAAAACATTTATTTGTTTTTCTTTCTAGATCATCCTTCTCCAAGAAGCCACTTTGAAAGTTTGGCCCACTGTGGTGGGAAGTTGAGAGAAGTCAACCGCTGCCTGGAGGGTCTTCTGAAATGAATAATGGGAGTTTGCCTACAAGCCTTTTTTCAGCCTTAATTCTCATGATTATGTACAAATTAACATAGCTCATGTACCTATTTACTTTAATGAAGTTCTACAGAATAAAAAGAAAATAATTTTGCTATCTTGGTGTTAAAATGTAAATCATAGCACTGATAGACTGTGCTGCAGTATCACTGCCATCCTATCTGAACCCATCTGTTGGGCAGCCCCTTGGGGCTGAAGAAGCAAATTGCAGTATGTACTTTGTGATCAGTTGTGTTTAAAGCGGGGAATATGTGCATGCTTGTGTATCTCTGCAAGGACACATGATTCAGGAGACCTAAGAAGGTCAGAGTGGAAGTAGGGTATGGAGGAAGATTTGCCTTTTTATCTAATACCTTTCTATTATTGTTCATTTCCCACCCCCATCCCAGGGAGGTATTGCGTATATAGGTTTTCGCCCTGAGTTTCCTTGGAATTCCCATTTCTATCATAGCATTAGCACCATTAAGTCCTTAGGAAGGATAGTCATAGCACTAGACATAGGTTAACCCTTTTTACTCTTGCTGGTTCAGCAGTTGTTTATTGAGTTGCTACTAAATGCCTGGGCTTTTCTATAGAATTTCATTTTTCCTAGAATATTCTAACTTTTCTTGTGAGAGACCTGTCATCGCAAAGTAAGAGCTAACCTTTGCTTAAAAATGTGTAAATATTAACTATAATAGAATAGATCTCGGGCTGGGGATGTGGCTTAAGCGGTAGCGCGCTCGCCTGGCATGCGTGCGGCCCGGGTTCGATCCTCAGCACCACATACAAACAAAGATGTTGTGTCTGCCGAAAACTAAAAAAATATTAAAATTCTCTCTCTCTCTCTCTCTCTCTCTCTCTCTCTCCCTCCCTCTCTCCCTCTCTCTAAAAAAAAAAAAAAAAAGAATAGATCTCTAAATTAAGTTTGTATCCCCATTTTACAGAAAGGCAAACTGCAAGATTGCACTGCCAGGGCCTGCACCATGAACTTGTAAGTTGTTTTGTTTCCAAAGTCTTTTCTCTACCATCAGGCTGTCTCTCCAAGCTCTATCTAGAAGGCAACTCCTGCCAGGTTGTGAGAGGTGGTAAGCTGTGCCCTTTTCATATCCCTCCAGAAGGAAGGAATGATAAGGGTAGAAGAAGCTAAGAGAGGAAATAGAGGTTAGAAGGCTGCTGAGCAGTCCTGATGGCATGGGTTTTGTGGAATTGCTTTTTCAGTTTTTGATAAAGAAGATGTGTCACACGTACCAGCTTACAGATGCTATTTCCACAATGAAAGAAGGCACAAGCAGCCAAATAACAGCAGGTCAAGTGAAGACTTGTATTAAAGACCATAGAAGCATTGGTGCGTGGAGTGCTTATGTGTGTCACCAGAGAAGGCCCAGTGTTTTCACCTTGGGGTTGGGAATTACTTTTGATCACTGCTTCCCAATGTCTGGTCTTACTGTTCTCTGGGCTGTGACTGCGTTCCTTCCCCATATTAGTCATCTTACTGCTAGGCTGCTGCTGTGAGTTGAAAATGTATAGACACTTAATTCAAGAGAGTCAGCAACATTTATGTGCTGCCAATTAAAGAAGATTCCAGAAGAACTGCTGTTGGGTTTCTGGTGGCTGTCTGCAACTTTCATGCTGCCCCCAGGCAGATCAACCATCAGCAAATTGGAACCACAGTTTCACTTCATGGTGTGCTAGGGAAAGGGGCTGAAGGACTTCTTCTCAGAAGATCTCTGAAATGTTAAGACTCTTGAAGGGCTTACCCACTTCCACAGCTCAGGCCTGGACTGTGGGTGGGTAGTGACCAGAGTTGGAGAAATGGTATGATGGTATGATTCAGATAAATGTGTAAACTACTTTATTGTTACACTGTATCTGGTGATATTACATGATAAACTGTAAGTAGGGTAATTTGTCATCAAATTGGAGAGACATTTATAGCCCATTTCCTATTACATAATGCAAAGCTGCTAATAGAGTAGTAGACAATGATATGGGTAATAATTTCAACAGTCTTAACTGTCACTTAAGTGCATTCAGGGATGACAGGTTTCTTTCATGTATGAGGTACTGGATACATTTTTTAAAAATAGATCTGGCATCGGGTTCTAGTCAAATCCTAAAGAAAAACCACAGTGCAGTATTTTATTTATAGTACTATACTCAGTGTGAATGACTATGTGTGGTAGAAGTCAGGGACAAGTTATTTGTAATGTACCTCAAAGAAATCTCTTAATTTGTCCTTCAAATACAAGATAAATTTACCTCTGACCTCAAACTGCTTTTCAGCTCCCTTTTACTTTTTTTTTTTTTTTAAGCAAGTAGAATAAGATCTACGAGTCATTAAGGTGGACTTTATATCATTCAACATGAATCTTTCTTCATTCCCCAGTGCTCTCTACTAAGACAGCTATTCTGCCCTGTCCTCATCTAGGTAAACCATCCTTATTTGTTGCCTAAAACTGCTGCAAATTCTCAGGTCCACTAGATTTGAAGAATCTTGGAGTTTGAGTATGAGTAACAGTACCTCAGTTGCTTATAAATGGCATGGATTTCTTTTTGCTCTTATTTATTTATTTGTGCAGAACTGGGGTTTGAGCCCAGGGCACTTTGCCACTGAACTACATCCCCAGTCTTTTTATTTTTATTTTGAGTCAGGATCTCAGTATGTTTCTGAGATTAGTCTCAACCTCCCAAGTCACTAGGATTATAGGTGTGGACCACTAAGTTCAGTTTTTTTTTTGCCTTGTTTAAGCTTCAAAACTGGCAGAAGCGGGGTTAGCAGCCCATAAGGAGATATCAAAGCCATTTTCACACACCTATGATTGTTGGATAAACAGTGCTAAACTGAATTTCTTAATTCAGATGCTTATAGATGTTTATGGGTTTCCTGCTTTACAGCTCTTATCTGCAAATGTAAGATCCTGACAACTTCAATTCAGCTTTGTTGGATTATTTGTTTGTTTTTTTTTGGGGGGGGGGGGGGGGTACTAGGGATTGAACCCAGAGGTACTCAACCATTGAGCCACATCCCCAGCCCTTTTTTTATATTGCAGTTAGAGACAGGTTCTTGCAGAGTTGCTAAGTGCCTCATTAAGTTGCTGAGACTGGCTTTGAACTTGCAATCTTTCTGCCTTAGTCCCCTGAGCCACTGGGATTACAGGCATGGACTGCTGTGCCCAGCTTCAGTTTGTTTTTGTGCAGTTTGTTACTTAATAAGTCTTGGTGGAATGATCTTACAAAGTGGGGTTGGGGATTTAGAGCACTTGTCTAGCACACGCTAGGCCCTGGGTTTGGTCCTCAGCCCTGGGGGAAAAAAAGGATTAAAAAAAATCTTACAAAGGTAAAATGTGTTCCTGGGAAAACATTAAAAAATGGACACACACACACACACACACACACACACACACACACACACACTGTCCAAGATGATGGTCCCATTGAAGAAAGAAGTGCTGCTGTTTTTCAGGAGTTCTTCCTTCCACCATCTGGAAGTTCTGCTGGAAAGGTTCAGGGAGGAGGCTGGACCTCACAGCTGGAGCTCCCAGGAGTTCTCCCAAAGCAAGTCATCCTAAGCTTTCATTGGGTGTTACATTCATGCTTTGTGTTTACAAATAAATACTTGTGCAGCTTTTAACCACGACTAGAACCATGTTTAGGTAAAGGCTCAGAAAATTCATGAAAATAATATAGGCCATCAGGCAGGAAGGTAGAAAATGCCTGAACCCTTTGACAGACTGGAATAGTAAGAAATGTCCTCTCTTCCACTCCTGCTTAATTAAGAGAGACAAAGTTAATCACATAATGAATGTGATTAACAGTAACATAAGCAACTTAAAGCTATTTCAACTTATTTTAGGAAATATATGTAAGTTATTAAAAGTGGTGGGACTTGGATCTGAGGTTGTGGCTCTGGGTAGAGTGCTTGCCTAGCATATGTGAGACCCTGGGTTTGATCCTCAGTACCACATATAAATAAATAAATTAAATAAAGGTATTGTGTCCACTACAACTTAAAAATATTTATTAAAAACTGGGCTGGGGATGTGGCTCAAGCGGCAGCACGCTCGACTTGGCATGCGTGCGGCCCGGGTTCGATTCTCAGCACCACATACGAACGGAGATGTTGTGTCCGCCGAAAACTAAAAAAAAAAAAAAAAAAAAATTAAAAAAAAAAAAGAAGTGGTGGGACTGCGATCTGTGCCCTTCTCACCTTGTTGGCTTAGATGTTGCTATGCATCATCATTTCCACCTCCTTCTACTGGGAGTCAGGTCTGAGAGCCTGTTTGGCAAGAACCATGACAACTTTATATTCAAAGCCACTGCTGGGAAAGTTTTGTTTCTTTTTGTTTGGATTTATATGTAATTTTCTTTCCAACTGACACTTCACTACTCTATGCAGTTTGAATCCTGCTTTTAAAATCAGACGTCTGCCTTGTCTTTAAATATTCGTGGAGGTAATTTAATGGGAGTGCCTATAATTTAAAAAAGGATTTTGCTACTTTGAAAAATGCGGGGTTCTCTTCTTTGGTCACCTCCCCCATCTTCCCACTCTCGGTGGTACCTCTGCCCTTGCCCTGATTTGAGACTGCAGGGAGAATTCTCATCCCCGGCTGTGATCCAGAAGGGAGCTCTCCAGCGGGCTGCAAACTATTCACAGGTGGATCCCCCATTCCCAGCGCCCCCGCCCCTAGGGTTGCCCCGCCTCGCCTCCGGCCCCGCCCCGCCGCTCCTCGCGCATTGGTGAAGCCGGCTGTCAATCTCCAAGCTGCTGGGGAAGGGGCGCAGCCTGGCTGCAGTCCCTCTGCAGAGGGCTGTTTGCTCAGGGTGCGAGGTGGCTCCCAGGCTGTCTGGGCGCAGTGCTGCGCAAGATTGCCCGACCTCAGCAGTGGAGTTCACGCCAGCGCTAACGGTAAGTGAAGGCAGGTTAGAAGGCTGCGGAGGCGGTGGGTCGGAGAAGTGTCAGGTCCGCTCACCTCCTGTGCGGCAGAGTGGGTGGGAGGTGCCCCCACTACAAGGGGGATCCGGGTCCTCCGAGATGGCCAGGAGTGAGAACCTAGAAGGTCATTAGTCCGCAGGCGTCTCCCACCTACTCACTTGGCTTTACCGCTAGTACCAGAAGCATGGGTTACGGTATTTTTTCCCTCTCCTTTACCCTGTTTTGGAAAATGTGACTTGAGATTCCTGACCATTATAATTTTACAGATAGCTTGAAGCTTGGTTATCTGTTCCACGCCCCCGACATTTTCCTTTTTGAGTACTTTATCCTGCGCGCTCCATATCCTGCCATAAAGGGTATCAAGCCAGAGAGATTCCTTCCTCCAGAAGGAAGCTTCGTGGTCCATATCTGGTGCTCGGGAAAGATGCTTTGCTTTCCTTTCCTCAGGTAGTGGTTGCTCTTTGCTGCAAGGGATAGAGGGGAGGTGGTGTTTTCTGTGGCATTAGACATAAGATTCGGTGAACAACGGGGGCTTTAAGGTTTCCTGAGTCAGTGAAGCTACCCTTGCAGGTTAAGGACGAGTCATTAGCAATCTAACATTCTTCTAAGTTTTAATGTCTACAGACTGCCTCCCGCCCTCCCCCACCACCATTTCTGTTAGGCTTCTGTTTGGGTGTTTGTTTCTACAGCATGATATATACATTCAAGTGAGCTTTACAAGCAGTTGTCTTAGGGCAATTCAGGTTAGTTTCTAATGATACATTCTTTAAAATAATCTATTTTCAATATTTCTATTAGTAATACATCCTCTGCTTACTAAAAATGCTTAAGCTCTGAAAATGCACAAGAGATGAGAAGACTTGAGTTACAATCAGCTGAGGTTCTGGTGCTGAAAAGATACTGCAAAATGTTCATATTTTCTGCCATCGTTCTAGAATGACTTTGTCTTAGAAGCATGAAGTATGCCATACTGAACCTAAAAATATATTTCCTTAGATCATAAACTGATTTTCCAGAATTCCAGTTCACAAAACCAAGGGCTACCCAAATGAAACTTCATTTAGGATTTACATAAAAAACAGTTATGAGAATTCACTTGCCTATTTTAGGATACCAACTAAAATTTATAGGATTTTTTGTTAGGTAATCACCTCATATCTGCATTCTTTGATGCTATCATACTACTCTGTGGATTAATTTTAAATACTCCTTCATATTTTTGTTTAGCCTATCAATTTGCCAATTGCATGGCTTATCAATTTATATTTGGCTTTTAAATTGGTTCCAGAACCAAAAAATAAAAAGACTTTCAAAAGCTTGGTTTTAAAATAGTAAGAACTCAGTCTAGGTTCAATTATGAGTTGATGGGCTGCATTATGGTTAATTAAATGACCATTAAACAATTTTTTAAAATTTGACTAATGGATTTATTGCAGATAAGAAAAAAAAATTGTTTTCTGATGAAACTCTTAAAGCCCAGTTTCAGAGCATAGGTTTTAGAAACAGGCAGTGCTGGGCTGAATGTGAGCCTGTTACCTAACTTTGTAATCTTAGGAAAGCTGTTTCATCTGTAGACAGAGATACTACCACCCACTCATTTGGTAATATCCTGGTTCAGGTTAGAGATGTATGTAAAAGTGCTCAGCATGGACTAATACACAAGAGTTGCTGAACATATGTCAGCTATTATCATTAACTTGTACCAACCTCCAACTATGTGCATACCACAGTGGAAAAAGTATGAACAGCAAACACTTAAGTGAAACACCAAAGTTATAGAACTAATTTGAGAGTGGAGACTGACAGTGATGTTAAATTTTCCTAAGAGTATGTATGAAAACTAGCACCTTCTTGATAGAACATACATTTTTAGAACAGAAACCTTATGGTACTATGGAAAGAACTCTAGAGTCAAAATCTTCTAACTATGGCTATGACCTTATCTGCCTGTTTGGCTTTCTATAAGCCAAGTGCCCCCTCTGGAGCTCAATTTTGTCATCTGGCTGGACTTGAATGACCTCAAGTAATCTCTGATGTCCTTTGCAGCTTCAAAATTCTTTATATTAGATTATTTGTCATCCTGCCCTTCACTGTTTTTTGTTGTTTGTAGTTGTTGTTTGCTAAACTTACAATGTACGGTCATTAATAATTCATGAAGACAAGCCCAACTAAAGAATTGACAATATCAGACTTGCAGAGTAATCCAAAATGAAATTTTCACAAAAAGAAAATATATATTCATATCAAAATATTTTTGATAGGTTAAAGTAGACCCCAATTTCTACTCTTTAGTCATTTAGGAAATTACTATATGGAAAACATGCCCAGTAGAATCTACATTCAACTGAAATAATGTTCACAGAAAATAATATTCTCATGGTCAAATAAAATACCATTTTTTTTATTCTCATCAGGTTGGTCTTGAAATAGAAGACCTTTCATGAAGAAATTGCAACCAATAGAGAAATGAGGCATCTGTATAGTAGAGAAAGCCCTAAAACAACCGTATAAGTAGGATGAAAGGAATGAATATACCTGGGAGAGATTTTACTCAGTGTGAATATTTTTGTCCACCGGTTTGCCCTAAAAGGCTGCCTAAGGAAGAAATAATATAGTTTTCTAGAGAATGAAAGAGTGTGGTGTAAATATGGAGACCACAGTTTCTGAAATTCAAGTAGAAAATAAGGATGAAATGAAATTAGCAGAAGTCAGTCCTCAGAATGAAAGACATGAGGAAAAAACATCCGTGCTTTGCTTCAAGAGAAGAAAGAAAGCAGTCAAGGCAGTGAAGCCCAAAGCTGTCTCTGAGGCTGCCAATGTGGCAAGGGAGTGTCCGGTAGAAGCAAGAGCTTCTGATCAGCCACAGCATCCAGGGGGCACCTGGGCCTCAATCAAACGTCTAGTAACACACAGGAAAAGGTCAGATTCTTCAAAGCAGCAAAAGTCATTTAAGGCTGAAGTGCAACCTGAAATAAAGGATGAGGATGCTGATCTTCCTAAGAAAAAGGTAAAATCCAGAATTAAGATTCCCTGCATAAAATTCTCAAAAGGTGCACAAAGAAGTAATCATTCCAGAATTACAGAAGACTCAGACTGCACCATCAAAGTCCAAAAAGAGGCTGAAGGGTTGGATATACAAACTCAGACCCAATTAAATGACCAGGCAACAAAGGCTAAGTCAGCCCAGGACCTAAGTGAAGGCGTCCTGCACAAAGATGGTGATGAGTTCTGTGAATCAAATGTGAACAGCAGCATAACATCTGGAGAGAATGTGATTTCAGTAGAACTTGAATTAGATAATGGGCATTCTGCTATTCAAACAGGAACTCTAATCCTTGAAAAGGAAATTGAAATGATTGAAGAAAAACAAAGTGTTCAACCCCAGCAAGCAAGCCCGCTTGCAAGTTCAGAAACAGACAACCAGCAACTAGTGGCTTCTGATGTTCCTCCATCACCTGCAATCCCAGATCAGAAAACTGTGGAAGAATCCAATAACAGTGTCCTAGAAAGTAGACCATACTGTGAAGACTATGAAAGTAGAGAGATGGCAGCTGAAGAGAATAAGCCAAAAGATACTGAATTGAGCCAGGAATCAGATCTGAAAGAAAATGGGATCAATGCAGAGAAACCCAAATCAGAAGAAAGCAAAAGAATGGAGCCAATTGCTATTATTATTACAGACACTGAAATCAGTGAATTTGATGTTAAGAAATCTAAAAATGTCCCTAAGCAATTCTTAATTTCAATAGAAAATGAGCAAGTAGGGGTTTTTGCTAATGATAGTGGTTTTGAGGGTAGAACTCCAGAACAATATGAAACACTCTTAATAGAAACAGCTTCTTCTCTTGTCAGGAATGCTATCCAGTTGTCTATAGAACAGCTGATTAATGAAATGGCCTCCGATGATAATAAGATAAACACTCTCCTACAGTGACTTAATTTCCAGGTCAAGGAAGAAAAGCTAAACCATTTACACATTTGTGGCATTTCTTATTCAGATACAAATAAGATTTATCACTTGTGGAATTAAAGGTAAAAATCCTAGCCTACAAGTGCTAAAGAGTAAATCAAGTTCATAAAACTCTACCACTGAAATGCAGTCACTTCTGGATTGAAGGAAGTCAGCACAGATTGCAACACAAAGTGACATACAGGGAGTACTAAAATGGCATATGGAGATTGTTTGGGGAAGGAAATATTTATTGAGCACTGCAGTATGCCATAAGCTCTTTACTGTTCTCTGATGTCACAAAGTCTGATTTCTTTTTAATAGTTTAATGCTGTGTAACATCGCATTCAGTTTTCAAAAACTTTTTTTACACTGCACTTTTATGTTGTTTAAAATGGTGAATAAGGTGAGTTATTTTTGTGAATGTGTATTTTATAGTTATTATATTCCTCAGCAGTAGTATTACCTCAAAAAATATATTGCATTTCTAATTTCAGCAGAGACTATGCATAATATGCATACTGGAATTAAACATAAGTGGTTTTCTCATTTTGCTCAAGTCCCTTACAAAAGCCATTGATGAGATCCTTCAAATAGGCAAATAGTGTGGAAACAAGGGATACAGTTTCCCTTTCCACCTTGCTTTAGCCCCAGCAGATCTGTATATATCCATTTTTATACCAGCTGATACCGGCTGGTCTGCTGAAAAGTGTAAAACAAAACAATGAAAACAAAATGAGGGGAATATTACTTTTCATCCAGGAGAAGTAACAAATGATCACAGCACAGAGTTCTTCTTGAAGAATTTCTTCTTTAAAGACCCTATTTACCAACCTCTCCTCAAGGAGGGGAGAGGTCCGATGGTAAAGATCCTAGGAAATCATAATATTCTAGTGAAAATGTTGTTTATTCTTGGCCAAGAATGAGCCATGTATAAAATTATTTATAAGGTACATATTTTCAGTGTGTCTATGTGTTAAGAGAAACCAGTAAAAAGTATTTTACATGGATACTGAAAATTAACTTTTTCATCACAATTTCCAGTCCAGCTAATATTTTACAAAAACGACAAGGGCTTCATTTGCATTTTATTCAGTTATTTAAAGAGAAGCATTCAATCACATTAATGATTGCCATGTTTTTTGGAGAAAATTCTATCCTCTATGTTTTCTTGTATGAAATGGCCACGATACCCTAACATACTTCCTTGCCTCACAGGTTAAGGTTCATATTGTATAGTCTCCCATTTTCTAAACTGAGTTATGGTGTTACTACTTGAAACACATGAAAAAATGGAAGTATGAATGGTAAGGTTTGTTGAAGACCATCTTAGAGGAAGGATGCACATTAGATGTTTTTAAATGATCTGGGTGACGACTTGCGTCATTTCAAGATTGCTTACACAAAGTTATGTGCTAATTTTTCCTATAATTCATTTTTTGGTAAATAAGTTTTGAGACCTCTGACAGAGAAAGCTAGTCTGACTTTGGAATTAAACCAAATAATGGATATTATTAGTAAGATTCTTTGCTGCAGTACAAAAATATTTCTCCCAGATTTTCCTACCTTCATGTTTATAATATTGGTGGGGAAGTTTCCTTCAGTAGCAAGATAAAAAAATGACCCAAGAAATCCTTGTCTTTTAATTATACAACTGCTACCAATATTTTTTAAAGATTAAGTCATATTATTTGAAAAACTCTTTAACTCTCTATATGTGGTGCTAATAGACTTAGAAAGCTACCAGCAAATATCACATATTAAAATGAACAACTTAAAAACCTGATTAAGGTTGGTGCATTGTATAGTATTTTGAAGAATCCTGTCTTCATTTATTACAAGGATTGCTCCAAGCCAATATACTTGCATTATAATTTTCCAGTAATCTCTTATGAACAAGCAAAAGTATAGCATTCATCAATTATTTAAAGCAGTTTGGAAGGTTTAGACATTTATTTAGGATTTAAAAAACAACAGATACAAGCTAAATATGTATAGTGAAATATCTAGGTTTCACACTGTTATTTGATAAATGTAATTTTGGTTAGAATGCATTATGATCGTTTTTATGATGATATGTATACTCTTACTTGTGTTCTTTATTAAGTGGTTTCTCCTCAATCTTTTCTAGTGAATTAAATAACTAGTATTTATTTGAAAATACAATCCTCAAATTAATTGGTCTCAATCTATTATATCTGTTACATGGCCAAATCCTATTATAGTGAATTTCTAAAGGGATCCAAATTGTTTTGTTGTTATAGAAATAAGCAGGAATTGGATGGCCTAGAAGTCTCTCATAAAATATTTTTTATTATAATAGTATTTATTTTAAGTAATTTTACCATATATGCAAAATACTGTGTGAATATAAATAGGTTCTGATTCATTTCACATCCATTTGATCATTTAAAAAGCTTAAATTTAAGAACACCATATTTTCATTTAAATCTGCTATGGTATAAATATTGCTTTTAATGAACATTTATTAGCTAGGATTTAGCTTCACTTTGAACTCAGATTTTTTTTTGCAAGCCTGGGGGAGTTTATCAGATTCTTATTAATCTTTTCAGCATATTATCTTCCCCCTTTTAAGAGTCAAGTATTATTCACTTTGCTTCTTACAACATAGGATATTAAAATTCTCTATTTTATGTAGCACTATTCACCTAACATTTTTTAAAGCACTTTACAAGATATAAAAATAGTACCCAGTAAAGGTAGAAGAAAACAAAAGAACTTTCAAACAGAAATTATGTTCCCTGCCACCTCCTCCACCTCAAAGAATAATAAGCATGTGGCACAAATGGAGTTCTTCATATAAAAGCTGTCTGCATAATTTTCTTTCAAGGTAATATATTTGACAGCACAGAGTTTGCAATGATCTTAATTGGGCTACTATGCAGTGGAGTCTTAGAAACTTTCTAATTTACTTTTGAGAACTTGTATTATTTCACCAGTATATGTGAATAAGCATCTTGCTAAAGGTTGTTTCAGAGATCATGAGAGGGCTCCAGTCAAATCCGCATGCATTCCAGAGTTAATTTTATCCATAAATTTCTAACTAACTTCAAGTTGCCTTACTTTTTAAAGTTAAGATTTTTTTTAGGGTTTTACAGCAGAATTTAAAAAAAAATTGTGAGACTTTAGAATCTTATTGTTCGAAAACATCCTTTTAATGTCAACTTTACTGAAAAAAGTCTACTTTCTAATTTCATCTGCTATTAAATACATCAGGGTTTGATTTTTCTGCCTGCTATTTCTGAATCCCTTAAGTTTTAGAGTTCTTTAGTTTCAAATTCCTGTGTTTTATTGTGTAACATGAGGTTTCTTACACACAATTCAAAATATCCTCCATAGAACATTTTATGAAAGATTTTTAAAATAATGATCCTTATTTAGTTACATTTATTAGAATGAAGCTACATAAAACTTGGGTGTGCAGATTAAATACTATTTGATTCAGCCTCTGTTAGGCATAACACGTGCCAAACATTTTGATAATGGAACAGGCTCTCTGCTTTCCAAGAGCTCAGTTTAGGGAGCAGGACAACAGAAGCTGGGACAGAGGTTAAGGCAAAGAGCCACAGACAGTGCAGCAACATGAGGCCAGATAGGGAAGCAGAGAGAGTAATTTTGGGTTGTGTGGGGGAAAGTGTCATCTGAATACACTAGCAGTTTCAAAATAGTTAAACAGTATATTCATTCTGAATTGTGCCTAGGTACAGAAAAAGGCCTGCATAACGTTACATATTTATAGTAGTTCATTGTCTGTAAAAATGTTAAGTGGATGAGCTATTCTGAAAGTCTTAAGAATTCCATTTTGTATTTCTCATTAAAATTGGTATTGTATTACTGTGGATCAGATATTAGTATTAAATAAATAATACTATGAGAAAAAGGTTTCAAGCCGAATTAATTTAGATACTAATTATTAATAAAGAATGTTTATTTATCCACAGCTTTAAAAAATGGTAAATTATGTTCACTTCATAAAACTATAAATATCATACTGATAAAACCACTTAGTTAGCCTTACCAAAAGTTCCACTCAGCTGATTGGGCATCAGACAGACTTTATAATATGTGCCTGAAGGAATCTACTTTCAGCAAGAGAACTAGAATTCTTAACTAATTCAACCTAAAGGGAAGTTCTGAATGTGATGCCACCTGTGAATTTAACGAAAACTGTTTGGGAGGCTGGGGGTGTAGCTCAGTGGTAAGAGCTCTTGCTTAGCAATGCAAGAAGTCCTGGGTTTGCTCCCCAGTGCTGCTTAACAAAACAAAACAATAATAGAAACAAAAAAGGCAGTTTTCATCCTTTCTTGCTATATACTCATTAGTTGTCTTTTCTGAATTATATTAATTTATATGATTTCTTAATGATCTTTATGGTTTCCCAAATAATCAAGCCATCTTGATGTAAAAAATGCTTAAATTATCCAGGTAGTACCTGTTAAGGCTGGGTGTGTCAAAAGTTCTGTGACTACTAAGACACTGATTCATTCTGCTAACATAATGCTGGTTTTTCTTAATTACAGCCCAATAATAATATTTGGGCTCTATGAAAGACTTGGACCCATTTAAAAGTTGATAGTACCTTCAAAGTCCTAAAACTAAACCTAGTTCCAGTTAATGTCTTTTTTTTTTTTTTTGTAGATGGACACAAAATAAAATACCTTTATTTTATTTATTATTTTTTTAATATGGTGCTGAGGATCAAATCCAGTGCCTCACATGCTAGGTGAGCACTTTACACTGAACTGTATTTTTTTTTAATATTTATTTTTTAGTTGTAGTTGGACACAATACCTTTATTTTATTTACTTATTTTTATGTGGTGCTGAGGAACAAACCCAGGGCCTCTCACATGCTAGGTGAGCGCCCTACCACTGAGCCACAATCCCAGCCCCTCCAGCTGTAATTTTTATATTTTATTTAGAGACAGGGTCTCGCTGAGTTGCTTAGCGCCTCACTTTTGCTGA